AACTCGCCATTTCTTTCTATCTCTTGAATTTTGAGAATTCATATTTTTAAATTTAAATCCTAACCACGTTATAAATCAAAAAGAAGGGAAATTAAAAAATGTTGGAATTTATATTAAATTATTTGAATTTATATATTCGGTTAAAATTATGGTTTGAAGGTTAACTTCCAACTTTCAAATACATTTTTTTATTTTTAGAAAGTAGACTTTTTACAAAATCACTTTATTTAGACGGAAAAATAGATTTTCTTGTTGATCATTACCTCTCCTCTCACTTTCCATTTAAAAGGAAATTCTGAGATGGCGTAGAGCCAAAATGTTACTGTAAAAAAAGTATATGGCTGTTAAGGGTAAAAATACAATTTTAGAGGATAAGTTATCTACAATTAAAAAGTTGGCAAGATAGCCCCAATTTTATCCCCCCCCCCCCTCAGTTTGGTGGAGGTCTGAGGGGTATTTCCTTAGTTTTTAGATTGATAATGAATGTATTAAAACCCCACCAGGACCTGAAATATATATTAGTTTTTAGATTGATAATGAATGTATTAAAACCCCACCAGGACCTGAAATATATATTAGTTTTTAGATTGATAATGAATGTATTAAAACCCCACCAGGACCTGAAATGCCCGGGATATCATAAAGTTAAATGCACAGAGGGAGGGAACAATATTCATATCCCCCCACACTTATAAAACTTAGCAAAAGACTGAGCGAAAGGCTGGCAAGACACTTTTATTAAACTTATATTTTTCCCCTGTCAATTTTACCTGACATATTTGTTACTCTATGCAATTAACAAAACAAATAAAAAGTTTATCAAAATTAAAAATTGTTTGGTGCTGTATTAAAATTTAAAATGTCATTTTACGATATAACTTTTTAGATTCTGATTAGAACATAAATAGGTTTGGCATACAATTTTTGCCACAGCCTTTACAGGTTAAATTTTTCACTTATTGGCACAGTTCACACTGGTATGGCTCATTTATCAGTATTATTGATTGTAGTTTTATTTTATAAATTATTCACTTTGAATCTAACTTATAATCATCTTGGTTCTAACTGAAATTAAAATATTTTATATTGGATAGTACACTTGTACTTGAACACAGTTCTGAAATATTGTTGAGTTTGTATACTGCAGTTTCGTATTGCTGAGCCCGAAATTTAATACAGGGTATCGTCATGAAACCCAGTATAAGAAACCCGGTTTTATAAATGGGGCTAGGCAATTTTGTAGATCCCAATATTTTTGTTAAGAAATATTTTTTGTGGTCTCTGTATATTCTCTTAATGTTTTCTAGAATCTTTAATCAAAATCTACCCAAATATTTAGACCCCCAAAAGGAAACTCGGGAGTTTCGTTCATCGATGCTCTCTTAAATTTCCGGCTCCGGGGGTTTCGTCGAAGGTTGAGTACGGGCAGCAGGGGCGTAGTTAGAAATTTGTCCAGGGGGCTTAACTTCATAAAGCACAAAAGTTTTAGGGAAATGCTTGAATTTATGCTTTTATAATATGCTTTATGTAAAATTTTAACAAGAAAAGAAGTTGATCAATTGAATGAAATACTACTTTTGGGGAGGGATGGTAATTAACAATCAGGGCACTAATTACTCAATGGGAAGGATGGTAATTAACACTCAGGGCACTAATTACTCCATGGGAGGGATGGTAACAACACTTGGGACAATAATGACTCCATCGGAGGGATGGTAGTTAACACCCAGGACACTACTTACTTCATTGAAGGGATGTTAATTAAAACTCAGAACACTAAAAACTCCATCAGAGTGTAATTATTATCCCTCCGATGGAGTAATTAGTGTTCTGAGTGTTAATTACCATCCCTCTGATAGATTTGTTAGTGTCCTTAGTGTTAATTACCATACCTCTGGTAAAGTAATTAGTGTTATGAGTGCTAATTACCCTCCCTCTGATGGAGTAATTAGTGTCCTCAGTAATAATTAGTATTTTTCCAGTATAGAGATTAGTGTCCTCAGTGTTAATTAACATCCCTCTGATGGAGTGATTAGTGTTTTGAGTGTTAATTACCACCCCTCCGGTGGAGTAATTAGTGTTTTGAGTGATATGTACCATCCCTCCAGTGGAGTAATTGGTGTTCTGAGTGTTAATTATCATCCCTCCGATAAAGTAATTAGTGTCCCGAGTGTTAATTATTATCCCTCTAGTGGAGTAATTATTGTTCTGAGTGTTAATTATCATCCCTCCGATGAAGTAATTAGTGTCCTGAGTGTTAATTATCATCCCTCCGATGAAGTAATTAGTGTCCTGAGTGTTAATTATTATCCCTCCAGTGGAGTAATTATTGTTCTGAGAGTTAATTACCATCTATTATGTGAAGTAATTATAGTTCTCAGTTTTAATTACCATCCCTCCGATGGAATAACTAGTGTCCCAAGTGTTGATTAACATCCCTTTGGTGGAGTTATTAGTGTCCTGAGTGCTAATCACCATCCCTGTGATAGAATAATATGCATTGAATGGTATAAAAATTCCCTCCTGCAGGAAAACAATTTCCCTCCAATGGCCTCTGTTTCAGGGACTCAATATGCTGCTGAAAACTTCTATTTCTCCAAGCGGAGATAAAAATTTGGGGCTCGGAGATACTTAGAGAATTAGTGAGAGGCATGGAGATGGTTTTGCAGGCTTGGAGGTCATTCTGCGTATCAGAAGGCTCAGGGGCTCATTGTGTGGCTCTGCACTCCCTCCCTCGCATGCCCCTCTCAAAAGGGCCGAAATGTCTCTTTAAGCCATGGTGGTATGAGTTTGCCAAGGTAAAATAATAAGATTAAACTTTTTTGGTGTTTACCCTGTTGGTTTTCAAATCAAAATAACCCCTAGCTATTAATTACTTTTACATTTTGAAAAACTTTTCCTTTTTATTCTGATCCCTTACAGTGCAGCTTGCTCTGTGTTGTACAATGTACATCATCCCCACGTAATATCCCCCCACACTTATAAAACTTAGCAAAAGACTGAGCGAAAGGCTGGCAAGACACTTTTATTAAACTTATATTTTTCCCCTGTCAATTTTACATGTTGTGCTGAGATTTTGAAAATATTTTATCTTCTAGTACATGTGTTGCTACTTATTGCACTAGAATTGTATGCTTAAAAACTATTGAAACCTTTTTAAAATCAAAGTACAATTAGACATATAAAAGTATGATTCAATTTACGATTGTAAAATTTTGGCTATTACAGTGAACAGCATTGCAAACTGCAATATTTGTATATTTGTTTATTTTCATAATTTATTCTTGTTTAGGTTCTTGCATTTGTTGGTTGTGTGGCAGCTGAGGCTAGCCTGGGATATGGAGGAGCGTATCATCCCTATGGAGGATACAGCTATACCCACAGAAGCCCCCAAGGACTATCTGGATATGGATATGGACATGGAATCGGCAAGAGGTCTGCTGATGCTGAGCCAAGTCTTGGTTATGGAGGAGCCTACCATCCTTATGGAGGATCCAGCTATACCTACAGAAGTGTCCAGGGACTTACCGCATACAACACCGGATATGGATATGGACATGGACTCTACAAGCGTGAGGCTGAGCCCAGCTACTATGGATATGGTCCAGCTCTTGCTTACCATTCATATGGTGGTGTCAGCTATGAAGCTAGAAGCCCCCAGGGTCTTTCCGGATACTATGGTCATGGAATTGGTAAGAGATCTGCTGATGCTTCATATGGGTATGGTTACAATGGACCTAGCTCTGCTAGCGTGAGAGTCAATGTTGACCACCCTTACAGCTACAATCCTAGCTCATACACTTATGGTTATGACATCCACTCTATTGGAAAGAGGTCCGCTGAGCCTTCTTACTATGGAGGATATGGTTATGGTGGAAACTCTTATGTTTCTGAGTCTCGACCTCTGTACACATATGGATATGGAATCAACCATGTTGGCAAGAGGTCTGCTGAGCCTTCTTATTACACCCCTTATTCTTATGGATCCAGCTACCAGCATGTGTCAAGACCCTATTCTAACTATGGAGTCAATGTCTACCACGGCTAGAGTTTCAAGACTGAATCAAATCAAATTATGTGACCAAATGTTAACTCATTGATGAAATAAAAACTATTAGGTCTTTCTAAGTTTTAGAAGGGAAACTTTTACATATTTCGTTCATTTTAAGCTTTTGATTATTTTTAAAAACTATAAAAAAAATATAAAACAGAAAATATTTGGTTTTCCATTCTGCATAAAAAGCAGAGTTTGTACTGTGTATATCATGCTAAGAATAATACACCAACCAATCTTTATCCCATATAATAGTCCGAAAACCTTTTCTAAGTCATCCAGCAACACCACAAGAGCTTTTGTTTATACAAAATTTCTTCAATTTCTGCCTCTGCAATATTTTTAAGATACAGAGTTTATTTGGGTTTTCAATCCATTTGTTGGAGTTTATGGAAATGAAAAAAATGGTATAGAGATAAAAAAGTGTTTTCGGTAGAATGAACAGAATGACCATGTTGTTGAGCCACAAATCGTGAAGGTTTTCACGTTCTTCCATGTGTTTCAAGACTAAAACAAATCAATTTATGTGACAAAAAAATTTTAAATTGTTTTATAGAATAAAATATTTTGAATGATCTGAAAAAGGTTCATAACTAAAGCTTATCAATTCAATCTCTTCGTTTATGATTGAATATTTTTTTAAATAGCTGGAGAAGGGGTTCATTTCCTTAGAAATACTTTTTTTCTCCTGCTTTTATAATGTAAATGGTCTCCAAACCACATAAATTTCACTAATAGGGGATCAGTCCCGTTTTGCCTCATAAAGCCTGTATTTTTACAATACAGCTTGCTTTGGCTAGTTGAAAACTTGAAATTCGGCCCGGTACATGAACTGAACTGGTACGTGTACAGTGAAATAGACATGAAAATTAAAAAAAAACTGAACTTATAGACGCAACAGATAGAAGTAAGATTAGTAGCGATCAAAAGCGCTTATTTATCGCATTAAGCCTATACCCCCTTTCATTTTTCGCGAACACTCCCTTTAATAGTAAGGTGTGAGAATACATTTTTGATGAAACTTGATTTAATTTTCGAACATATTCCTATTTTTAAAAATGTAAAGCACTTTAGCTCATTTTGCATTTTGGAACCTTTCGAGACATCTCTCAAATTCAAAACGATATGTCAACTTTCAAGCATTTACACAAAACACAATTTTTGTTAAGGAAAAATTCAAACAAAATAAAAAATAATAAAATACTGTTGTTTCTTTAATAATTAGATTTACGATATTAAAATATTATATAATCTCAATATCAGTTTGTTCTTACAAAAATATTTAACTATAAATGCAGGAAATTGGCTATTTATAATGCCGGAAAATCAATTATCTTTATTCTCTTATTTACCAAATAATAATGTGGAAACCTATATTCTAGAAATATTTCACCAGTTTATTTATTCTTTTAAGATAATCTTGTTTGTGATTTTTTGTTTAGAACTGAAGATTATGCTGATGCGCGCAAAATGTGCCCACCCCCCTTCATAAATGCTCTCGTACGCCCCTGTTAGAATAACAGAGGCAAAATTATTCCAAAGGTTTGCAGAGTAGGTTTTCTAAAGATATAAAAAAGTAACATCTTTTTCCTCTTAGAGTAAAACTATTTTATATGTTACTTGTTAGCATGTAATTAATATGTTTTAACAGTAATAAAATTGCAAAATAGATCCTATTTTTTTACAGATCTTAATATTTAATGTAAAATTAATAACTATAATGAAGGACATAAAACTAGGTGAAAGCTGAAAGATAGGAAATGAAGGCTTTATTTATGATAAAGTTTGTTAATGCCAAAAATGAGTGGAAAATTCAAATCAAACCCAAAACAATGGCTTATAGTTCTGACTCCTCGGTTTTTCTAAAAATGAAGGTTCAAATTAGTTTTGAAAATCTAAAGCGAAACAAATCGTATATTTTATCCCTATTAAAAACCTTTGTAACAACAACAATCTACGCTGAAAACTGAATTAGCTTAAACATGTTGATCAGTAAAAATAAAATAAAGTAAGAAGTTTACAATGAAAAGTTATATTTGGCAATGTTTTTTTCTTCTTCTCAATTAAATCTATTGAGCTTTTGTGTCGGATACATACAATCATGACTACTTGATCTTGATATTTACTGTGGACACTTTTAATTTCGGAATTAATGCTTAATCTCCGTAATTTAGTTATTCCTTCAGGGAACAATGACCTTGAGGGATATCGAAATTTTTTTTACTCAAGATTAACAAAAGCTTGAAATGAAGCATTGATCTCGATATCCAAAATACAAGCTGTTCCCACCTCAGGTTGGGTATAAATTGATTTTTACATTATAATACAAATTCTTTGTCACCTACATATTGATTAAATTTTATTGGTAAAATTAGACTCAGATTAAAACGCTTGAAGTATATATGCATATTTATACTATTAGCGTGCATATACAAACAAAATACAACTTTTATTTGCCCTTGTTAGTCTTAGTTGTATTTTTAAATCTTCTGAAGAGTATTTTGACAGCAGATCCCAAATTTTTCAAAATACCTCTTCCTTGGTGACTTAATATTGCATGCTTATTTTAGTTATGAATGTTATAATTTACACTACATGTCAGTCTCACACCTTTATCATTTTCCAATACTGGGTATTCACAGCTTCTGCCTGTAAATACAGGGTTTCACCATTCTGGCAGGAAACCAAGCCAAAAGAACGCAAAGGGTTGCCGAAAATACTTCAATAAATTTCCACTGAGGATTTTACATAATTTTTTGCAGAAACTGTTTTGTTCAAAAATGAATTTGTTTAAATAAACAGACCCCGTAGTTTGCATATTTGCTTGCTCATTTCATCTTGTGCGAAATTACGTGCAAAAAATTTACACATGCAAGGGGGTGCAAAACCTTCACAATTTGTGGCTCAACGACAATCTAAACTATTAAAAACTCTATTTTTATCTCTTTACCATTTTTTTCATTTCCATTGACTCCAACATGCTGAAATCTTTAGACCTTTTACAAATGGATTGAAAAACCAAATAAAACTCTGTATATTATACAAATATTGCAGAGACAGCAAACCCTGAAGAAATTTTGTATAAAACAAAAATTAAGCTCTTGTGATGTTGCTGAATGACTTAGAAAAGGTTTTCGGACTATTATATGGGTAAAGATTGATTGGTGTATTATTCTTAACATGATATACACAGTACAAACTTTGCTTTGGAAAACCAAATATTTTCTGTTTTATATTGTTTAAAGTTTTTTGAAAATAATTAAAAGTTTAAAATAAACAGAATATGTAAAAGTTTCCCTTTTAAAACTTAGAAATACCTAATAGTTTTTATTTCATCAATGAGTTAACATTTGGTCACATAATTTGATTTGATTCAGTCTTGAAACTCTAGCCGTGGTAGACATTGACTCCATAGTTAGAATAGGGTCTTGACACATGCTGGTAGCTGGATCCATAAGAATAAGGGGTGTAATAAGAAGGCTCAGCAGACCTCTTGCCAACATGGTTGATTCCATATCCATATGTGTACAGAGGTCGAGACTCAGAAACATAAGAGTTTCCACCATAACCATATCCTCCATAGTAAGAAGGCTCAGCCTCGCGCTTGTAGAGTCCATGTCCATATCCATATCCGGTGTTGTATGCGGTAAGTCCCTGGACACTTCTGTAGGTATAGCTGGATCCTCCATAAGGATGGTAGGCTCCTCCATAACCAAGACTTGGCTCAGCATCAGCAGACCTCTTGCCGATTCCATGTCCATATCCATATCCGGATAGTCCTTGGGGGCTTCTGGCTTCATAGCTGGTAGCTCCATATCCATGATAAGCAATAGCAGGATATCCATATCCATAGGCATCAGCCTCACGCTTGCCGATTCCATGTCCATATCCATATCCAGATAGTCCTTGGGGGCTTCTGTGGGTATAGCTGTATCCTCCATAGGGATGATACGCTCCTCCATATCCCAGGCTAGCCTCAGCTGCCACACAACCAACAAATGCAAGAACCTATAAAATATAAATTAAGTCTTTGCCACAAACTATGATTTTCTAATCTCTATATCTTTGGAGCCTAATGTCGTAGACCTTAGATATTTCAAATTATGATTTCTGTTAGACCAAATTATCTAACTTTGAAATATCAAAGGTTTACACCATCATGTTACAAAGATATAGGGATGATGCAAAAATTCCTTTGCAACTAAATTTCATTTTCTATCCTTACCGCTACAATCTTAGCTGCCATGGTGTTCTACCAAGCTCAGTTAGAAGAATGATACTGTTTCAGCTCCTACTCTCAGCTTATATAGGAAAATTCAAGTTCATGTGCTCTGACATTTAAGTTCTTATGTTCTGCTCAGTAGAATGTGATAGGGCAGATACACTCGTGTAATATTTTTTATATATAGAAAACTAAATCATATTTTAGTTTAATTTTATCCTCAATTTTAAAATTGTACATTGGGACTTTTGTAAACATTAAAATTCAACTATCTTTTAAGCTTTAACGTAAAATTTATTTTAAAATATTAATTAAATAATTGCTTGGTTCCAAAAAAAATGAGAGTTAGAAAACAAATATTTTTATTTAAAACTTTTTTATATTTATTTAGCAGACATTTGATTTGTTCAAATTATCTTATTACTTCAAGTTGTGGAAGAAAATAACGATGGAATATTAAGTCTACCTTTCAAAAGTACTTTTAACTGTCGATATTAATAAATAGGTACATTCTGGAGAGGGTGACCAGTGACTACGGTATTTTTCCTGTCTTAATATGTATTCTGAATATAGAAAAGAAGTTTTGATGTCTATTTCATGCTTCTTGTAAAAGTTGAAAAATTGTTTGACAATCAATAGCATCATAACTATTTACAACAAAAAAAATTAAAGTTTACAATATTCATAAGAAACTATCTTAAAATTTAAAAAAGGGGTTTTAGAACATAAGTCGCTATTTTTGTCTTCTGCACATGTTGAAGACTTGAGATACTCAGTTTTTTAGCTCTAAGGTTAGGGTAAATAGTTAAAGTTTATTTATTATGCAGTGTGTTTGAGTTACCTCGGATTGAATTAAATTACATTCAACAATTTGTAAAAGATTAAACCCCTTGTTAATGTTATGAACTCGTAGTATATTTGTCTAAAGACCACCTTTATTATTATGAGTCCTAATGGTTGAACTTTGGTAATTTCTTTTTCATAANGAAAAAGAGGGGGGGGACTCTCAAGTACAACGAGTGGGTGATTGAAAGGTTAAGGATAATCATTTACGGTTCATTGAGATATAATGAGACACACATTTTCATTATATCTAGAGTTCTAGTTCTAGTTCTAGTTCTAGTTCTAGCTCTAGTTCTAGTTCTAGTTCTAGTTCTTGTTCTGGTTCTTCATAGTTCTAGCTCTCTAATTCTTTTTCTGGTTCTAGTTCTAATTTCAGTTCTAGTTCCAGTTCTAGTTCTGGTTCAAGTTCTTGCTTTGATTCTAGTTCTAGTTCCGGTTCTAGTACTAGTTCTAGCTCTAGTTCTCTTGTTCTTATTCCGGTTCTAGTTCTAGTTCTAGTTAGTTCTAGTTTTAGTTCTCTACTTATTGTTCTGGTTTCAGTTCTAGTTCTTATTCAAGTTCTAATTCTGGTTCTGGTTTAGTTCTTGTTCTGGTTCTAGTTCTTATTCAAGTTCTAATTCTGGTTCTGGTTCAGTTCTTGTTCTGGTTCTAGTTTTTGTTCTCGTTCTAGTTCTATTTTTGGTTCTAGTTCTATTTCTAGTTCTGGTTGTAGTTCTTGTTTTGGTTCTGAATCCAGTTCTTGTTCTACTTCTTGTCCTAGTTCTAGTTTTGATTCTAGTTCTAGTTCTGGTTTTAGTATTAATTCTAGTTTTAATTTTGGTTCTAGTTCTGGTTCTAGTTATAGTCTTAGTTTCAGTACTAATTCTAATTATAGTTTTAGTTTTAGTCCTAGTTCTATTGCTATTTCTAGTTCTAGTTTTAGTTTTAGTCCTAGTTCTAGTTCTGGTTTTAGTTCTAGTTCTGGTTCTAGTTCTAGTCCTAGTACTAGTTCTAGTTCTAGTTCTAGTTTTAGCTTTAGTCCTAGTTCTAGTTCTAGTTCTAGTTTTAGTTTTAATCCTAGTTCTAGTTCTGGTTCTAGTTCTTGTTCTAGTTCTAGTTTTAGTTCTTTCTCACTATTGTTCTGGTGCCATGTTTCTGGTTCTGGTTCTGGTTCTAGTTCTGTTTCTATTCTTGTTTCTATTCTAGCTCTAATTCAATATCCGCACAAAAAGTGTACAATGTAGAAATTCTAAATTGATTTTGTTCACTTTGAATGTTTGGTATGGAAAGAGTGTAAATTAAGATAAATTGTTTGATAAATTATCTCATATTGAGGCTGCCCTAACTAAGGGTTGGTTAGTTATGTAGTTAGTTAAAGATGTATATGATATGTTTTAATTTTTTAGAGATAAAGGCCAGTGAAAAGCTTTCGGGACACCCTTTTATATTTTCTATTAAATTATAAATTATCAGTTAGATACATATATTATTATTATAGAAACTCGTCGGGCATCGATAATCAGATGTTAGATTGGCTATTTGGATAGTTGGTTCGTTTGTTTAGTTGGTTCATTGGTTAGTTGCTTCATTGGTTCATTGACTAGGCTTCTCAACTTAGACATAAAGTTGCAAATATACAGGTAAACGGATATATTTCAAACCTACAAAAAATAATACAGACATAGTAAAATAAATGTTGATGTATAAACGTTTATGAATGTTTTATTATATTGCTTACTATTTAGCTGTGTAAGGATGATTAAGGAGTGATTAAGGTTCGGAGGGTTTGATTTTGGAATACTTCTGAAAATATAAACCTGGTTGTTTTAAGTGTAATTACTATGGAGTGCAAAGTTATTTGTGGATTTGATTATTCACTTTGTTAAAACATTTCATTTTATGGTGTTTTACTTTTGTCGGAGTACTGAGAAATTGCCAGGGTATTGTTTTAATTTGGATTTTCTCTGAGAGGAGGGGTTGGGAATGAAGAGATTTAAAACGAGAAAAAAAGGAAACATAAATCATGGAATTGAGTGTAAATTGGAATATGGAATTGATTGATTGAAATGTGATTGATCAATTGACAGGAATGGGAAGGAGAGGATAGGAGTATATATTAGGGTACATATGTAAATTAATATTACTATTTAAGAACAAAATATATTAATTGCATTACATTAATTTGTCATAAATAAGTTGTCATTAAATAATGATAGAGTTCTTGATAATCGGCATGTAAATTAAGATTCTAATTTGAACTGATTTGAGACTTGAGGTTGGATTATTAAATAAAGAAATTGAAATTGTTGTATTGTTGGATAAATAAACAAAATTAATAATAAAAAAAAGTTAAATTGATGTAACATGGAAAAGTTGACCGATGGTTTATGACAATTAATCAGCAAATATAGAGCTCACGACGGTTGGAACATGATTTCAGATCAATCCGAGTGAAGTTTGGGGACGAATTCCTGCGGGATCTGAGATTAACATTTTCTTTTCCTCTTTTATTGATGTCAAATTAAGTAAATAAATATAAATTAATGATTTCAAATAAAGGATAAACTTTGTAAAAAATTGAGATAAGTTTGAGAATTAGGGTGTTTGAAATTGTATTTTAGATTAAACCTTGGGAATAAATTAAAATTTTTTTTGGTAACATATTAAAAGGAATTAGAAGAATTTTTTTCTGAGGAAAATTAAGAAATGTAAAATATTTATAAGTGGAAACCAGGCTGTAACTGGAATCAATGAGCTCTATTGCTTGTTGTCTGAGTATTCTGTGTAGAATTCGTCTTCAACTTCTCAGAGCTGAGTTCCTGCTTTAAGAGCAAAGGTCTCTGCTGCTCTATCTTCTGTGTGGCCGCGAATCTGCTCCCGAGGCTGTGGTTCTCTACTCCAATGAAGGAGTACAGCTGGTTGATGGCGATGCTCCGTTCTCCTACTTCTTTCATTGTAGCCCCAAACATGTCTCCGTTCTTTCTTCAGAGAAGGTCTTGAACCCTGGCAGCTGAGATTTCATGCCGGTATATGGGTTCATTCTCAATGTCCCCCACCTGTTGGAACCGATCCTTGTTCTTTCCAGGTGATGGTGGGTCTCCTTTTGTTCCAGGTGATGGTGGGTCTCCTTTTGGTGTATTCCTGTTTTCAGAGAGAGTTGAAGTGGTTGAGGACAATTTTCCACCTCAAGATTTGATGTTGAACTGGTAGGGTAGGAGTATCAGGTGTGGTTGAAGGATCTGGTTTGGTTGGAGGCTCAGGTTTGTTCAATGGATCTGATTTGGTTGTAGGATCTGGAATGGCAGAAGAATCTGGGTCAGTTGAAGGATAAGGCTTGGTTGAAGGGTCTGGTTTTTTGAAGGATTGGGTTCAGTTGACGGATCTGGTTCAGTTGGAGGATCTGGTTTGGTTGAATGATCTGGTTCAATTGGAGGATCTGGTCCGGTTGACAAATCTGGTTTGGAAGAAAGATCTGGTTTAATTGGAGGATCAGGTGCGGTTGAAGGATCTGGTTTGGTTAAATGATCAGGTTTGGTTGGAGGGTCTGGTTTAGTTGAAGGATCTGGTTTGGTTAAATGATCAGGTTTGGTTGGAGGGTCTGGTTTAATTGAAGGATATGGATCAGTTGCAGAATCTGGTTCTGTTGAAGGATCAGGCTTGGTTGAAATGTCTGGTTTGGCTGGAGGATCTAGTTCGATTGGAGGATCAGGTGGGGTTGGAGGATCTGGTTTGGTTGAAGGATTGGGTTAAGTTGACGGATCTGTTTTGGTTGGAGGATCAGGTTTGGTTGAATGAAGGGGTACAGTTAAAGGATCTAGTTTGGTTGAAGAATCTGGTTCGATTGGAGGACCTGGTTTGATTGGTTAAAGGATCTGGTTCAGTTATAGATCTGGTTTTGTTGAAGGATCTGGTTTTTTTGAAGGATCTGGTCCAGTTGAAGGATCTGGATTGGTAGGAGATCTGGTTTGGTTGAAGGATCTGGATCAGTTGCAGAATCTGGTTCTGTTGAAGGATCAGGCTTGGGTGAAGGATCTGGTTCGATTGNACAATAATTCTATTTAATTGGATTTAGGATAGGATTTGTTAGACATGTTGTCATATTAATCTTTTTATCAAATAAAATGAAGAATATAAATTTGTTCTTAACCAAAATGCTTTAAAAGTGCAAAACTGAAACTGAAATTGAAAAGTCATAATACATTTTAAATTTAAGTTTAATTAAATGTCTTTTTAATTTATCATTTATGTTATTTCATAAAGAACCACATTAATTTTTAATTCTTTATTATAAATACAGGTTAACTAACATCTATTACATGCAAGTATTTTTTTGACAAAATTATTTGTTTTGGTTTACAAGTAATTAACAGAAGAGTAAATATATTAGCTGATTTATCAACTATCGTAAAGCAATAATCAGCTGAATTCTGTGGACTCAACAATCAGATAATTTTTGGCAGCATTTTTAAAAATTTCAAATAAAGTTTTTGTATCCACCATTAGCAGAAAAATAGATTATCAAAATTAATCCTCAAACAAAGACAAATTTAATGATTATTTTTGCTGAAAATATGGTCAACATAGTGGAATGAATGGCAAATTTTGCAACTGAAAATCTTTTTTAGTTTGAATTTATCCCAATCAATAATGTCGCTTCAATGAATTGAAAATAAAAATTAAGGTTAAATTACAAAAAAATAAATTAATCTTTATCTCGAACTTTTTGATAAGATTAGTGTATTGAAAGTAAAATTAACTATCACAGTAGGCAAAAAACAACCATAGTTAAATATTATAAATTTAATCAATTTAAGAAGTTTTATAATCATCGTCTGAAAATTTAATCTTTTTTTAGGTTTTTAATAAATTTTGTTTATTAAGATTATTAAAGGAATATTAGTCTTTGCCACAACCTTAAATTTTCTAATCCCTATATATTTGCAACCTGATGGTGTAAACTTTTGATATTTCAAACTTAGATTATTTGATTTAACAAAATTCATTTCTTTCTTTTTTAAAAGAGTTAAAAATCTAGAACAAACAAACATTCTAACAAAATTGTTTTTGATGATTTTTCAAGACTGTGCAAAGAGGTAATAATCCATCAGTTAAACTGTCTCCGTGGAAGGAAAAACAAGGTTTACTAGAAAATCTTTTTGTAGCAAAAACATTACGAGTTGGGAGATATAAAAGACGTTATTTAATGGAGGGTCATTAATTCATTCATTCAGACACAGACTTAAATCAAAATAAACATCTAGCAGGATCTTTTTAAATGTTATCTATTCTCCGCTTTGCCTTTTGTAGTTTTAGCTTGATAGCAATAGAATTTCACGAGTAAAATATTGTAGAAACTATAATATGAACAATTTTGAAATCAGATTTTTTTCTGCTAGCATTGAAATTGATCTTAGAATAACTGTGAACATAAGTTTCTTAATTCTAAATTAAAGAAAGAGTTATGAAACTGGTGGTAACCAATAAATTGTATATATCTGGATAATCAATAGATCGACTCTGCTTTTGGTGCCACGCAAGCAAGACAGCGCCTAACCAAGTCGATAAAAGAAATCAATTTGTTTGTGTTTGTGATTTTAGTCAAGTTTGGCATAGGTACCGACCAAATTCAAGTCTATTAACCTTTTAATCGTCTAGTGCATTTTTTGATTTTTTTTTTTTAATGGAAGCCGTTAGTTTCGGAATTTGGAACTGCTTTTAAATTGAAATATTTTATTCTAATTAATAGAATATAGCCCATTGGTGTAATAGGTTTTATATTATTGGGACTGGAGGTTATGTCTAATAGCTATAGGTCTTCTACATGGCAACTACACCCATGACCCAACATCTTTCTCTATACAGGCAGCAACCTCTTGACGACCAAGTAGACGAACTATGTTCAGTAAATCAGTCAAAGCAGCCTAAACAAGTAAAATATAGAAAAAAATGAGTTCTTAAATTACGTTATCAATTAATTGATGAAACGTGGAGTAGATACCCTTTTTTATTTCTAATTCTTTGACTGGATAAAATTTGTGTTTGAAAGCCCCGTCTGATCTTATAGTTTAGAATTATTGTGATAATTCTGGGTTCCCTTGGGATTGGAAGAGGGTTTCCCATTAAATTATGGATAAAGCAACTGCTTGCTGATATTGAATCAATATCTTCTTATACAAGGATACAGGAGGATACTAAAGAGATGAAGAAAAGGGGAGAGAATAAGGAGAGGAGAAAAAAGACGAAAAAACTGAAATGCAGGGGCGGAAATAAATACTCTGTTTTATTGTAAAAGGGCAAAAGTGAAAAGGAAACAGGAGGAAAATTTATTTAATATTAGAATGAAGGGAAGTATTTAGAGAAGTTGAAAGGATAGATAAAAGAAAAAAAGGAAGTTTGATAATGCAAAAGGCCCGGGGGCAAGGAGATCTTTATTTTGAAGTATGAGAATTATTACAAACTAATGTGAAAGAGAAAGGCATGAAGTAGAAAGGTTAGAAGAAGACACGCAAAAGTTGGGGGAGGACCAAACATGGAAAATGAGGAAAAAAGGGGAAGAAAGGAAAAATTAAGAAAGTAAGGAGAAAGAAAGGAACCGAGGGAAGATAAGAAGAATAAAAGGGAAAGAAGGGAAGAAGGAAGAGAGGAATGTGGGGAGAGAGTTATTTAAATCCTTAATCTTCTGATGAAGGGAGGAACGAACCCGGAAAAGAAATAGTTTTCAGAAATCCTAATTGTTCCTGGAGCAACGGAACCCTGAAACCAACTATAGGAAACATTTTCAAGGAATCCTTCAAACAAAATATATCATGAAAACATTTTGTAACAAGTTTTTATTTTTCACGGTTAACTATACAAATACGTGAATCTGACAATACATATATATATATATATTTGTTAATGATATTCCCCTTGAGAAAACAGTGTTTAACAATAGTAACATATCCCTATCGCCCCCCCCCCCCCATCTTAGTTAGAATACAATATCTGATGTCATCTGACTTAGAGTCTGAAACTTAAGATGTATGACTAGGAAACCTAGTTTTGGAAACCAGTTTGTATTGATGGCCGAAAAAAAGAAAAGGCGGCCCAATATATTAACAAACGCGTTTTTTTCCAACAATTAAGTTAAATTATAGTTTCTCCGAATTAATATTGTTTTTACTATAAAACTGCATTTTCTCTGCTGTTCTTTTTAAAGTTTCGGTTCTGCGAATAGATTCGGCCTTGACAAAAAAAATTAGAAAATAAATAAAGATTTTTCTAATTTCAGCTAAAAAAAACTGAGTAAGTAATGTGATGAAACCGGTAAGAATATCAATAAAATAAATTACTTTTTATGAAAAAAATTGGTATGAGGAATGAGGACATGAAACCATAGATAAATAAATAAACATAGATAGCTTATGTACGCAAGATCACCAAGAATTGTACAGTCCACGAACTCATACTTCTAGGGGTCAAAGTGTACTTCAATGATAAGCGGGGTGGTTTGGTGTTTTAATGGATTTCATAACAGAGTGTAAAATAACTCCGGGAATGGAACTATTTGAACAACAATATTTCACTGAGCAATATATCATATTGACGAGAACTGAAGAAGGACATGAGAAGGACTAAACTAACTTATATTTCTTTTTACAGAACTCATGTACACCACAAGTACTCAATGACATAAGAACAGCCAATGTTCACAACCGACCTGGGTAATCTATATAATAGAATATCTTTAAAACATCTCTGTACATTTATATCTTTTAAGATGAAAAATATCGTCTTATGCGCAATCTATCTTTAGCTATGCATGATACAAATTTGAACTATAAAATGAAAGCATGTCAGTCAGAAATAAGATAAAAGTGTTAAGTTTTAATCAACTTCTTATTCAGATAAACTACAGTCATCTTCGTATATATCAATACAATAAAGACGAATTTATATTTCCATTTTGATTTCTACAAAGTTTCATTATATTGATATAAACGCCGACCACTGAATTTAGTATTGAAATGAAACTAATAATTATTTAGATTGAAAATAAAGGATCAAGATGAAACTTCTACGATTTTTAAGATTAAATGCAGGGTTGAGATTAAACTGTATAATAATGAAACGAGTCTATGTAATAAGACTAAAATTAGTAAATGCTAGGAACAAATAAACGATTAGGAATCAAAATGAGATTATAAATTTAAAATTAGTGAGATTAATGTGAAACAAGTATTTTTATGATATAGGTATGCATTAGGATCTAGTAACTAGAATAAACGAACAAGGATTAGGTTGAAACAAGCCAAATATTCAATGAATTGAATGAATAAAATTATTTTGCATTACTGAGAAATACTGACATGTCTAAACAAAACCTTTGTGTGTAAGCTATAAAAAGTGCAAAATTGCATGCATTTTAAAATAGAATTGTAAATAACAGAATTAAAATAGAATGTTTACGAAGTATTAGTAAATAGTCACGCACACTGCAATTATATCGTCTCCTTTTTATCGATCATCACACTCTAACAGCTAATGTGCTTGTACGTTCACATGTGAAATATCATGAATAAAACATTCACAGAAGTATTTTCTTAGATCTGTATATTTATAGATCCATGAACCATTAATGTAAGATGCGAGACATGCAATCACGCTATAATTGGAACATTTGACATTTCAAAATTAGGCCGAAATCTGTTTTTAAATGAAATAAAATCTGACATTTCTGCCAGAAAAGAAATTTTAAATTAATTGTTGAAAGATGTAAATTATATCGATAGAAAAAAAAACCTGCTCTATAGAGTCAATCTGTTCGTTAAAGAGCATAACGGTCCCCACTAGAGTGGGGACCGTTATGCTTTTTAGATATTATAGAACTTATAGTTTTTTTTTTATAAAATTATGCGAAATTTTACTTTGACAGAAGATATTAGTATGAACGAAGCAAAATTAATCGTCAGCTAACAAAAATATGAATTTTGTGTAATATCTTCTGTCGGCGTCAATATTTTGCATAGTGCAATAAAAGCAAGTTTTTAAAGAATTTGACAATTTTTAAATAGGTTAAACTTCTGAGATCACTTTTAAAAGCCTAAAAATCTCGAATGGAATTCTAACTTTATTGTCGGTATAGGATGAAAATTATGGTATTATGTTTTTTATAGCACGGTTCATGGACGAGCGGGGGAAGGCAGGCGGCCATGAGCCACCAATATTTCCCCTTCCGTGCCACATATTAGTTTTTTTCTGTTCCGGCAGCCATGAGCCACCACTATTTCCCCTTCCGTGCCACATATTAGTTTTTTTCTGTTCCGGCAGCCATGAGCCACCACTATTTCCCCTTCCGTACCACCACATTTGACTCTTCCGGGCAAAACTACTTTTTTAAATGGTATATATAGGGCCTTTAAAGTGTGATTTTAAAAAATCCAGCCACGTCACGCAAAAAAACACAACTCAAACCATTTTTTCAATTCTACTTAAGATTAATATTTTGTGTGTTGAATTCTTAAACTGTTTTACAATGAAATTTTTGACAAATTTGACTGAGTATAGCATCTTGAAAATCACAAAATCTAATGATTATTCAATTACTGACTCATTATACTAAATCCATCTTAAAATTACTCATTGACCAACTTTGTGATATTTCAAGATGCAATACTCAGTCCATGGACTATGGTCAATTTGAATTCGAACCGGACCAACTCCTTCTACCATCATTAGTGACGCTCAGGAAGTACAGACCCAACCCTATCCTATACCGGCTAGGTTTCAACTTTAATGGCGCAGCTAGACTTTTTACAGTACCCGGCTTATCATAAACCTATTTGACCTAAACCACTAGCTTAGTTTAGTAGTGTCTATACCTGGTCATTTTACAGTACCCGGCTTATCATAAACCTATTTGACCTAAACCACTAGCTTAGTTTAGTAGTGTCTATACCTGGTCATTTTGTTGTGCCTCCCAGAGGGAGAGTATACAGTCAGTTGGACTTTTTCTTGACAAGTAGAACTCAAGAAATCTAAACAAAACAATTCTAGAAATCGGTAATAAAGATTTAAAAGGAACTTTTTGGAACCATTACATTGGCCATTTTTGAGATTCAGGGTTATTCAAATTAAATTGATCATCCCAATTCAATGAACATTTTTAATCTGATTCCGCAAATGTCCCTGCCAAATAGCATTCCATTCAACCTTTCAATTCCTTTTGAACAATAAGAACAATTTTTTAATCTTCATGACAGAAACAATCTCAAGATAAAAGGTTTAGTCCATCACCATCACCGAATGTTAAGAACAATAATTCACTGATAACCAATATACAGGGCCGCAGAAGCCCAAGGATATTACGTGCCACGCCGCGTTGAGTTAAAAGACAGAGAGAGAGCCTGTTCTAGCCGCGGCGCTCGGCCCCCTAGCCTGTCCTAGCCGCGGCGATCGGCCCCCTATCCTAACCAAGCCGCGGCGATCTTCCCCTAACCTGTCCTAGCCGCAGCGCTCGGACCAGAAAGTGTCTTAACCTAGCCAAACCCTGAAGTTTACATTAATCTCTCTCTTCTTGTAATTCAATGCGGCAAGTGCACGTAACATCCTTGGGCAACTGCCAATAGACATCGAGATGTTTTTCGTCTTTAATCTTTCTTTAAATTCGAAACACTCAGGATTTTGTAAGTGTATGAAACCTGTTTAAACTGATATATCTACAGTTATAACATTGACAATAATTCAAAAATTCAAAATTTTTGCTATCAAGTTTATGTAGAGGGTTAGAAACAAAGAATAAGGCATCAGACGATTTTACAGAGTTTAGTTTTTTCTTCTTACATCTATCGGTTCCTGCAGGCTTGCAGAGGCTTTCTTCGTCAAATGAATTATAGTACTTTAAGACAATTATAGTACTTTAAGACAATTATAGTACTTTAAGACAATTATAGTACTTTAAGACAATTATAGTACTTTAAGACAATTATAGTACTTTAGACCGTTATTTTCAAAAGATGCTAACCAGGAAACATTTAAACCGACTAAAACTCCGATGGCAAACATGTCGGGTAAATAATTCTGGACTTTTGATGTTCGACATGTCAACATGACGGAGACGAAATGTTTGCAGCGTAGTCCTTCATTCAAGTCTTATTCTTTGTTTGTACTGATGTAAAACTAACCTATCTAGACGGAGTCCAAGTGCTAAATTTTTCCATTCTTGGGCTTGATCAAAACTAAGGCAGAGCCGTTGGCGAACCTTCTGGGGTAACTTGAAAGCCTTAAAAAATACAAGTTATGCAAAATTTGTTGAAAACCACTGAGTTGGTTTCTAGTATACCTGGTAACTAGAAGGTGGAGAACTGCAACCACTAGATATGGCTACTAGTATACCTGGTAACTAGAAGGTAGAGAACTGCAACCACTAGAGCTGGCTACTAGTATATATACCTGGTAACTAGAAGGTAGAAAACTGCAACCACTAGAGTTGGCTACTAGTATACCTGGTAACTAGAAGCTAGAGAACTGCAACCACTAGAGCTGGCTACTAGTATACCTGATAACTAGAAGGTAGAGAACTGCAACCACTAGAGCTGGCTACTGGTATATATACCTGGTAACTAGAAGGTAGAAAACTGCAACCACTAGAGTTGGCTACTAGTATATATACCTGGTAACTAGAAGGTAGAAAACTGCAACCACTAGAGTTGGCTACTAGTATACCTGGTAACTAGAAGCTAGAGAACTGCAACTACTAGGGCTGGCTACTAGGATACCTGGTAACTAGAAGGTAGAGAACTGCAACCACTAGAGCTGGCTACTAGTATACCTGGTAACTTAAAGGTAGAAAACTAACCACTAGAATTGGCTACATGGTATACCTAGTAACTAGAAGGTAGAGAACTGCAACCACTAGAGTTGGCTACTAGTATACCTGATAACTAGAAGGTAGAGAACTGCAACCACTAAGAGCTGGCTACTAGTATACCTGATAACTAGAAGGTAGAGAACTGCAACCACTAGAGCTGGCCACTAACGAAGAACAGTTTGATGATCTAGAGATGGGAGAAGAGAGTTTGTTTATATCACAGGATAAACCAATATTAACAGTGTGCTCAGGCTAGAATTTTATCATGAAAATAATCTTTAAAACTTTAAACTATCTATCTATCTTACTCTCCTATTATACGAATGGATTTTAACCTTGATGTGCCATTTTTGTGTGCACTTTAATGCATGATTTTGTGAGAAACCAGTTTTTATGTTTCTGCAGAAATTATCACCCTGACCTTTCTAACTATAACAAAAGATTTCTAGATTATACACTGCAAATGCATACTCAAAGTGCGTTAAAATATTCCTTCTCTTTCTCACCCTTTTTTAAAAAAGAGAAAGTACATAAAATTTTAATAATTTCAGATAAATTATTTGAAGTATCCGCTACACTTTAAAACATTTTAATATATTATCCGAATGTCACTATTCAGATAAATTAGATCCAACTTTTCACTTTTGAATTGGAATCTTAATATATAAATCTTAGATTCATACCAAACATAAGAAACACAAATCCAAAATTATAATTGTGCGATCTTTCCTTTATATTATTTCTATATTAACGTGTTAAATTAACTTAATTTTCAAAAAAAACTAAATAACGTCATCATAATAAGCAATAAAAATGCTCAAATTTACATTTGTTTTGTAATTTTTACATGATATCTAAAAAAATACAAGTTATCTATTATGTTATAATTTATAGATATTATAAAGGAGAAATGAAAAATAAAGAATTGAATTTAAATGCTATATAACTTAAATGCAATTTTACCAACTAAACATAAAGGCAAAAACGAGAAATATTTGTTATACAGGGTGTCCCACGAAACATGACAGTATGCAATATGTGTGATTTTAAAAAATCCAGNAGACAGGTAGGTTCTGTTTTGTCTCGTATATATGATCTGTATGTATACTGTACAGCTCTAAGGGGTTAGATTCTTGAAATTAACTAAAGTTGACAGTGGTATTGCAAGGTTTAGTGGAGCACACTGTATATATATAATATAGACAGCTAGGTTCTGTTTTGTCTCGTATGATCTGTATGTGTACTGTACAGCTCTAGCTGGTTAGATTCTTGAAATTAACTGAAGTTAACAGTGGTATTGCAAGGTTTAGAGGAGCACACTGTATATATATAATATAGACAGGTAGGTTCTGTTTTGTCTCGTATATATGATCTGTATGTATACTGTACAGCTCTAAGGGGTTAGATTCTTGAAATTAACTAAAGTTAACAGTGGTATTGCAAGGTTAAGAGGAGCACACTGTATATATATAATATAGACAGCTAGGTTCTGTTTGCTCTATTTCAGACAAGAACGAAAGACAGGTATTAAAACATATATATACATATAGATGCATAATTGCATAATGCATATGTATGCTAGCTTGGGAACTCATGTGTGTATGGAAACTAATCTTTCTCGAAAAAGTCACCCCGCCCAATTTAGAACTTTAAAACATTATTGTGGTTCTATATCAAGTTCCTTAATACAAATTTGAGGCAAATCGGTCAAGGGGTTCACAAGTTGATCGTACAAACGAACAGACAATAAAACAGACCTTACTAGTTAAATATACAAGATATGTAGGTGGGAGAAGTGTGAGAAGTTGCCAAAATCCCAACATTTAATAGATAATAATTATACACTTCTTTTTATAGTTTCATCTTGGTCCAACAAATCTTTAGGCAGAACGATAATATTCTATTCATTAAACTATTTACATAAAATATATAATGTTTATTCATGTTCTATTCTGGAAATATTTACGAAATTTAATTTCCAATCCAACCTATCTTTCTTTAAACTTTAAAAGAAATTTTAACGCTCATTGAAAAAATGTTGAAATCAATTTTATAAATGTGTTTTCTATACGTTAAGTTTTCAAATGACCAAAACTTGTTCCCCATAAAGACGTTGTACTTCGATTAGAAAATTGCAACATTTTTTTACAATAATACAGTTATCTTTTTATTAATATTTCTCTAATAAGATGGCTTTGAATTAAAAAAATGCATTTTTGACTCGGAAAAATTGAATTGGGAGTGTACAGACTAAAATCTTTCAATCTGACTTAACCTGACATATTGTTTCCAAATCATGTTATTTTCATATCGTATATTCTCTGAACATTAATTATTATTATTAATTATATTAAATATCTACCTGACCTACTCTCTGTACTGTAATGCATCGTTTACCAATATTTCCGATTTGTTAGCTGTGAGTTTTATAAGAATGTTAATCTTTTCCTTTTCTAAAATTGGTCTCATTTAATCTCTACTTCTATGTGACCAGACAAATGATTAATCATGATAGTTTCCTTCTGGATCTGTTTAATGGCGAGGTTAAGGCTGAGGATGGATGTGGAGGGATCTAGATTTATTCACACTAGAAACATAGAACAGAGGTATAGTCATGGGTTGATTTTTAGGGGAGGCCGAATTTAAAGAATTTGAGCGGCGGTTTAAATTTAAGCCGCGGTTTAAATATGGTTGGTTCCACTTAAATATCAAAAGTTTCAAGATTTAAGACGGCGCTTAATTTAAACCGGGTTTTGGCGGATTTAAACCGCGGCTCAAATTCTTTAAATTCCATCTCAGACTGATTTTAAGCAATTCTAATTATTCTAATTTAGTTTTTTTAGTGTGAATATTTTCCTGTATGGTTGAGATTAAATATGTACTGCGAACTTTCTGCAGTACACCAATTGTACATGAGTTTCACATCCTGAGTAAATTAAGAAATTATTTAAATTTAAAAAATGACATATAATAAGACTTTTCCGACAAATTTCGCTCTTCTTTTAGTTTTTGTACTAAATAAAGGAATCATTATTTAAAAAGTAAAGTAACCTATAATGTCAATTTAAACGAGTTCTTTAATGATTTTGTTTACACAGCTAGAATTTCCAACCCCTTTTATTAATGTATTTAACCAAGAATAATTAAGCTATATCATTATATACAGCAAACATCTCTAACAAATAATAGAATTATCTCTCTGATTTTCCATAAGCTTAAAGTTAATTTGAACAGTGGTCCTAATTACCTGGGTGAGTGTATGACCAGATCTTCTAGATTTAGTACACCATCCTGGACCTAGATCAGATAAACGGATACACAGCTCCGCATCATCATCCGGGGATATAAACCTTGATCCGTCCTCTCCAGGTACTGGGAGAGTAGGGTCCTGGTAGTAAAAGGATCTAGGTTTATCCACTAGCTTAAACCCAGCCTTATCCTGCAAAATAATCAACGTAGGTTTTAGTTTAAGTAAACCTTTTTATATAAAGTCCTTTTAAAAATAACCATTGTATTTCTTTATTAATATCATGTTTATTTTGTTTTTTAATAATCTCCGATCACGGCTTTTCTAGAAAGTGATAATCAGAAAGATATAAGGTTAAACGCTAAGTTAAATAATGTGTGAGATTAAATTCTGGAAATGCATTTGACTTTTAAGTAAATCTCTTGAAAGAAAAATGATAAAATTTCAGAAGAAAGCGCTTCTGCATCCAGCACAATGGAAAACATTTTATGTTCTCCTAAAGAAACTGTGTATACCTGAGCCCTGACAAGTGCCTCTACAGTAGCTTGTGTATCCTCGACAATACTAAAACCAAAATTCAGTTTAAACTAAAGAAATTGGCTGTGCCGCCACATTTGTGCAGTGTGCTTTTTGGTCCAAACGAACCAGCTGAATGCCTCTTGTCATAATAATTAGAATAATATCTTTGAAAATATTAAGTAAAGATGTATTTTTTATCACTTCGGACTCAAAGGATAAAATTGTTATGTTTTTGTTAAAATCCAAAAAGAATTAATATGTAAGGTTTCTTATCTTTTAATCTTAGTTCTTATTTGATGTAAAAACTGACTACATCGCTTTAGATTCCTGGAAATCTTGTTAAGATTATATTTCTTTTCTCAAAAGAGAAATTGGTTGAGCTCTAGTGTTTTGTTGTTGAGTCGTATAAAAATCGTTCCCAATTTAAGTCAGAGAGCTTAAATTAGTTCCATAGACCAGTATATAGAATTTGTTCTTAAATATTCCACATATATTTGTATTATCTATAAATATAATTTTAATTATCTTTCTGGAAAGTTTAAGTAAAATTTGTTAAAGTTTAAGGATCTAACCCAGAGCAAACCACACCTTTAAATTCAATTAAGAAAACTATGAATAAAAAAACTTGTCTTAGGGTTTGTTAGTCCGGGCTGCCGCACTCCGCAATGTAAATTTACTACCATCAGAACATTTCATTCCGACAGTGCAGCCTCTCCAGAGTCCGGAAACCAGAAATACGGAAAATATATTCTAAAAAACGATAATGTTTGAAGGTATCAATGGTTTTATTGTTGATGAAGCACAAACATTTTAAGATTCGTCAGATTAAAAAAACATTCAGATTGTTGAATTAAAATTATTTATATATTAAGCAATTCACTCATCCTATAAATATCTATATATATATTTTGCTTATCTGTCAGTCTGTCCGTTTGTATCCAAAACGTCAAAACGGCTGAACCGATCGGGTCCAAATTTTGAGTGGGACCTCAGGAAAGGTTTGTGAATGATCAAAATTTCAAAAATTTGCCTTCTATAAAATTTGATTTTCACTAAAAATTTTAAAATCAAAATTGAAAATCCACGAAATATTTTTTAAAATACGTGAATATATATATGTATATATATTTATTACATTTAATTTCCAATCTAACCTATCTTTCTTTAAACTTTAAAAGAGATTTTAACGCTCATTGAAAAAATTTTGAAATCAATTTTATAAATGTGTTTCCTATACGTTAAGTTTTCAAATGACCAAAACTTGTTCCCCATAAAGACAAAAAAAATTCACGTATTTTAAAAAATATTGCGTGGATTTTCAATTTTGATTTTAAACTTTTTAGTGAAAATCAAATTTTATAGAAGGCAAATTTTTGAAATTTTTGTTTGCTATGGCTGGTAAAACGGCTGGACTGAATTGGTTGATTTTTTTAGGAAACTCACTAGTACCCCAGGGGGTAACAAAAGCTTTAAAAAATTCTAATTTTTTTTTAAATCAATTTTTATTTGTTATTCGATTTTTTAACTCTACGGGTAACGCCGGGCACTTCAGCTAGTATCATAAAATCTTAAAATTTTTTCTAATGTGAAAAATTGATAATAAATGATGTGACATTTCTATGAAAAAGACAGATTAATAAGAAAATATCTAGAGCAGATAAAGAACTAAGCATGTAAAGAATGATAAATTATTTATCTGTATCAAATGATAAATACAAATAGATGGAAAGATAGAAATGATGTAGGATGGTTTCTATAAAGATGCTGAGTTTGAAAGGAAATGAAACTTTGTGAAAGATAGGTTTATATATAGAAAATAGGTTTATATATAGAAAATAGGTTTAGACGGAAAGAATTTGTATTTAGAAAAGAAAGATAGATACAATAAAATATTGTATATAGAGTATCAAGAATGGTATTTTCTAAATTGTAACAAATAGTTCTTCAGTTTAGTTTACTCTATCCTTTGCACTGCAGGGAAATCTTCTAAAGAGCCTTTACTAAATCTTCTTTGCCACACCTAGTTCATTTATAACAAAGATGTAAAATATTCTGTGTTTTCTAAAATCTGAAAACAAGTGAAGTCTAGATTTGATTTATTCTAGGATTTAAGTTTTCAGTAAAAGAAGATTTTGTACAGTTACATTGCAGTATGCAAAACTATTTCCATAAAGCAGAGACTTAATCTTATTTTTACAGTTCTCTGGAGAATTGAGCTATCTAGGATCCAGGAAATAGGAACATATATTGTAACAAAATTACTTGAATACTTCTGATTTAAAAGAGCCTTTGTGGGAAAGTTATATCGGACATACTCCTCATATCATTGCAACCTGATGTCACATAGATTCACTTTCAGTTTTAGAGCTATAAGCACTTGTTTTTAGCTTCACTTTTAAAGAAGTAATTGGTAAAATTCTCATATGTGAGACCATGCAATATTTGGATCACGGTGAAATGTCGGAGACGGTTTTTATTTCAAGAACACTTGTCCTTAAAGATTTCCTTCTGTTAAGTCGCTTGAGGTGGAATTCTCTTATCAGAGAGATTGGATTTGTCAAACCTGAGTTTTAACCAAATAATATTTTTGTGTTGTGTCCGATATGAAATGAAGAAAATATTTCTTCTCCAACCTAATCTTCACGGTGTGGTGGGCATTAGATTGATTGATTAAAAATTGCATCCTAGGCTTGAATTCAATAAAAGCTAGAGAGTGAGGAATGCACACTTCTTACATCGTGTTTGGAATATAAATTCTATTCTTTGATCTAGTTTTTAAGAATAAGAAACAAGAAGCAGTAAACGGTGCACGGTGAATAAGAAAATTAGATTTACCATTTTAGGACTCATGTTATAACTAAAATAGAAAAAGCTGTGCAACTTTTACAAAATGGTATGCCCCTCGCTCCATGCATTTTTTTCCCCTACTGCCTGAATGCCTAGTTTTTTTTCTACCTAAATCTCATTATCCAAATTTTGAATATTGAACTCTTTCATTTTCTTTGAGAAGCTTACTCCTCCCTTTCTAAAGTTTGCTGCTGCACTATTTAGTATAACTTCTTGTGGTACACTATTTGGATTAAAATAAGTTACAGTATATAATGTACTCCAGGATAAACAGAAAGTTAAATTGAAATTATTTCTAACAATTAGATTTATATAATTTATTCTAACCATCTCTTGGATATAGGATAAAATTAAACATTTGATGGGGTTGGCTCAAATTGGGGCTGTAGACGTCATAATTACAAGTGTCCCTCGATATATTAAACGTTGTTGTTTTTCTCAATGAAATTTGATATTTTTGATTCCGGGTTCTCTATTAGAGGTATACTTGTAGAATTATGCTAGAAAGAAATTATCTTCTTCATTGTTACACAAATTAAAATTTTGATGGATACTGTTTGAATCTATTACAGCAAAATATATTTAGAGCTTGCAAAATAGAAACTCATCTTTTGGTAGATTGATGAAATTGAAATTGTTTCACGCTATACAATTAAAGGACCTACATTCTTCCATACCTTGCGAAGCTTCAGTTGAAATGAAATTTTAATGTAAAATTTTATTAAAAGGACCTAATATTCATTGAACTACCACAAAATAGGACCTAGCATGTATTGCAGCACTAGCAGGACCTAGCTTAACTAATTATTAGAAAAAAATCGTTTGTTTAAAAATAATTGTGCTCAATCTACATAATTGTAGTTCAGTTAATAAAGACAAGAATACTGAATACTTATTTTAAAATAAATGAATATTCTAGAGATCAGAATCAGATGTACAGGCAAACAAGCAGTTTACTGATAATTCTTGCTTTTATGACTCGACAATACCTTTACATGATTAAATATAAAATGTGTCATTTTTAACAAATAGTATAATATATTTTAATGTATTGTCGTTTTCTCAAAAGAACAATTGTAAATGATAAACTTTATGCGAGACAGACTATTCTATTTTCTGATGAGCTCTTCAGCCAGAGTTAATTTTCTTCATGATGTTAATTTTTTTATTGGTTTACTAAAATTAATTTATTGATTTTAGAAAAACACAATTTGTCTCCATTTTTACTTCACTAGGCTTTTAGGGCGCTTCGCGCCCATCTTCTATTTAAATTGTGAACATGTTCTTTTTTTTGAAAAAAATGTTGCGGATTTTTAAAAACCAATTCGCGGATTTTCAAGAATTTCATTTTTTTTACAAAATTAAAAACCTTTAAAACACATTTTTTTAAAAAATTTTATCATTCATAAACCTTCCCTGTGGTCATGTGATGTCCCACAAAAATTTGGGCCCGATCTGTTTAGCCGTTTTGACGTTTATTGGATACAAACAAACAAACAGACAAACAGACAAGCTAAATTTATATATAGATAGAAGGGAGACAATCTATATTAAATTATGTCAGGATGTTCGTATGTTGATACCATCAAGCAATGAAAAGTTAACTTAAATATTCAAACATCTAACCCAACAAAAAAAAGAATGGAACATGGAATCCAAATATTTAAATTAATTGTAAAAAACTTGCTAAAACATTATAGTGAACTAAACATAAAACCAAGAGATTTGAATCACCTTAACTGAACCGTATTCCCTTTTTGTTTTCCATTAATTGTAAACACGCCTTATTGTGCATGCAATATACTTCTCACATCCTTCACTTAGTTTTTTCTTACTGCACCACCATCATTAAGTCTGGTAGTCTGGTAGTCAGGTAGTCAGGTGGTCAGATAACCAGGCACTTTGGTAGTCTGGTAGTCTGGTATTCTGGTAGTAAGGTAGTCAGGTGGTTAGATAATCAGGCACATTGGTAGTCTGGTAGTCATGTAGTCAGGTGGTTAGATAATCAGGCACTTTGGTATTCTGGTATTTAGGTGGTCAGATAATCAGGCACTTTGGTAGTCTGGTAGTCAGGTAGCCAGGTGGTCAGATAATAAGGCACTTTGGTAGTCTGGTAGTCAAGTAGTCAGGTAGTCATATAATCAGGCACTTTGGTATTTTGGTAGTCAGGTGGTCAGATAATCAGGCACTTTGGTATTCTGGTAGTCAGGTAGTCAGGTGGTCAGATAATCAGGCACTTTGGTATTCTGGTAGTCAGGTAGCCAGGTGGTTAGATAATCAGGCACATTGGTAGTCTGGTAGTCAGGTAGTCAGGTGGTTAGATAATCAGGCATTTTGGTATTCTGGTAGTCAGGTAGTCAGGTGGTCAGAAAATCAGGCACTTTGGTATTCTGGTAGTCATTTAGTCAGGTGGTCAGATAATCAGGCACTTTGGTATTCTGGTAGTCAGGTAGTCAGGTGGTTAGATAATCAGGCACATTGGTAGTCTGGTAGTCAGGTTGTCAGGTGGTCAGATAATCAGGCACTTGGGTAGTTTGGTAGTGAGGTAGTCATTTGGTCAGATAATCAGGCACTTTGGTAGTCAGGTAGTCAGGTGGTCAGATAATCAGGCACTATGGTAGTCTGGTAGTCTGGTAGTCAGGTAGTCAGGTGGTCAGATAATCAGGTCAGATACAATTAGGCAATTTGGTAGTCAGATATAAAAGTCGGGTAACAAAGTATTTATATTCAGGAAGCCATGTAGTCAGTTAGTCAAGTAGTCTAGTAACCAGGTTAGGAAGTCAAGGTAGTCAGGTTGTCAGGTAGTCAATTAGTTTGTTAGTCAGTAAGTCAGGTAACCAGGTAGTAACATATTAGTTAGGTTGTCAGGTAGTCAGATAGTCAGGTAGTCAGGTAGCGAAGTTCGATAGTTAGACAGTATTTATACGTAACCAGGAATTGTAGTAGTCGAGCATGGTAGTCAAATGTTTAAGTATTACATAAACACTTGAAGAATAATAAACTGAAAAATTTCCTAAGATGAAGCATGTACTCCATGAACCCAGGCAGATATTTTCCAAACAAAAGAACCTTCAGAACCTAAGACAATTTTCAAATAAATAAAAAAACTTTTATATTTTTTAATTTGAACCAATTTTTCACGTACCTTAACTGCTCTTGAATTTTCTTCCGACTGACCCACCAAACAGAATCTAATATTAAACAATATCAATGACTAACATTATAAATTTAAAAGAAATAATAATATTAAAACACTGATAATAATGCTAACCTGCTGAGGAAGTCAGTAAGGATATGACAAGTATTGAAGTCTAGGTGAGTGTAAATTGGACAGGTTACCGACTCCCTAGATTAGATTAGATTAGATAAGATTAGATTAGATTAGATTAGATTAGATTAGATTAGATTAGATTAGATTAGATTAGATTAGATTAGATTAGATTAGATTAGATTAGATTATATTAGATTAGATTATATTAGATTATATTAGATTAGATTAGATAAGATTAAATAAAATTAGATTAGATTAGATTAGCTTAGATTAGATTAGATTAGATTAGACAAAATTTGTAGATAATAAAATTTTTAGTAATTTCAGGGATGAATAGTGCTAAATTATTGCAAGCAATCTTATTCTCTTTTCTTTAAAAAGTTTCGAGTAGGGTTTCCAATCGGATTATTTTGCAAGAAAATCGTGCAATAATTGCGCAAAAAATTTTGCTCAAAATCATGCAAAAATTGTGACTTTTATTATGTATTTATTCACAATTTCGTGCACAAAAAAATATTTATTTCGAATGAATGCGCAATTTCATGCAAACCTGGTTTCAATGAATGATTCGAAATTTCGTTCAAGAACAGTCGTTTCGTGCAAAAACGCGGAACTGTTGCGCAAGAGAATCTACTGTTTCGTGGAAACCCTAGTTACGAGTCGAGACATGATTTCTAATTGATATAGTTATAATTTTTACTATTATTGTCAAGAATGCCAGCCTTTAGTTTATTAAAAAAAAGGAGATTGGTACGATTGTACATGATAATAAAACTTTTGCAAAATATTCAACTCTTTAGTCGATGTCCCATTTTATGCTTTGGGGAGGATAAATGCGCAATTTTGTCCAAATCCGCAATATTTATTGCAAATTGGAATAAAGCAATGATATAGAGTGTCCGGGTAAAATCACAAATGCATTAAAAAAAATTACGGAACATTTTCTTGAATTCTTCTTTTTATTTTTCTATTTTTCTATTATTGATTAAAGGAAATTTTAAACCTAAAAAACTTTCGGGGCTGGCATTATTTTTTAGACACCGTAACGGCTCCGTTGTAAGTTTTGTAATGGTGTATCAATTATATATTTATACAAAACTAGAACATAAAGTTCAACTTTTAAACCAGTCTTTTCAGAATTGTTTAAAAAATATGAAGTAGTTACAGGGTTACCCACAAAGGATGAGACTGTAAAGACGACCAAAAACTCTAAAAATATGAATGTTTGAAGCTTGATTTTTGGTTTCTGAATTAAATTGAATATTTTGATGGTTTACAAAATTATTAAGCACAGCAACAAGCCAGTTTTGGCCTAAATACAAGAAACCCTGAATGCAAGAAAACGGACTAGACAAATCTCATCCTTTGAGGGTAACCCTGTATGTGATATAAACGATGTTAGGTACTTTCCCAAAGGCATTTTCCAAAGGGCGACTTCCCAAGTGACAATTTCCCAAGTGGCAACTTCCTAAATGAGCAATTTCCCAAGCGGCAACTTCCCAAAGGTTAGGTTAGGCCTTCTGAGGCGCAGGAGGCTGCAATGGTGGGCGAACGCTGAATCTAGGATGGCTTAGGGGGTCGAGCGCTGCGGCTAGAACACGCTGGGGGCCGAGCGCTGCGGCTAGGACAGACTTGGGAAGTTGCCGCTTGGGAAAAATCCTTTGGGAAAGTACCTAACATCATGTATACTTATTAATTTTATGACTTTTGTTAGTTAATAAAAATGTTATCTCTTTAAAATAATATCATCAATGTGAAATGGTTATTCCAACCCAACCTCCAACCACTGTCTTTAACCTACCTCCAACCTTGCCTTCAACTTGCCTTCAACCAACCTCCAAGCACTGCCTTAACCCAGCCTTCAGCTGAACTCCAACCTACTTTCAACATACCTCCAACCTACCTTCAACCTACCTTCAACCTACCTTCAACCTACCTTCAACCTACCTAAACCTACCTCCAACCAACCTCCAACCTACCCCTAATCTACCTCCAACCTACCTCCAACCTACCTTCAACCTACCTTCAACCTACCTCCAACCTACCTCCAACCTACCTTCAACCTACCGTCAACCTAACTCCAACTTACCTCCGACTTACCTCCTACCTACATCTAACCTACCTCCAGCCTACCTCCAACCTACCTCCAACCTATCTCCAACCTACCTTCAACCTACTTTCAACCTACCTCCAACCTACCTCCAACCTACCTTCAACCTACCTCCAACCTACCTCCAACCTACTTTCAACATACCTATAACCTACCTCCAACATACCTCCAACCTACTTCCAACCTACCTCCAACCTACCATCATCCAATAACTTGTATTTAAAATGTGTAATGCATAATGTATTTTTTATTTTGTTTAATGTATATATATTTTATATCTAACAGGTTTGCATTCTAAATTTGTGTATTTACAACTATAAAACTCGTTTTTTTATAGTTTTGCAGTTGATTTCAAGATAGAAATTGTGGAATAATTATGCAATATATTTGATTCAGTTGGCCTAGTAGTCACTGATTTCGACCAAATTGACCAAATTAAATCTTTTATCTCATAAAAACATTTTTTGCCACTAATTCTTTTTAGACATGGTAAAAATATATCCACTTGACAAACTGCAAAAGATATTGTTGCTGTATAAGCTTATAAGCTGTATAAGCATATTGTGTAACCAATTATAAAAAAAAACCTTTTTAAAATGAAAATAAGATTTCGTGCACTCTGTTTTACGGTGTAAGATATTGAAAATAATTGCAAAGATGTTGTTTACCAAGTAGATCAAGTTTTAAATAGAATAAGTAGCTTGGCCTTTTACTTTGCCAGTTTATGAAAATAAAATGACGAGGTTTACCCCAAGGAACTATACAGGAACGCCCAACTCAGATATACGCAAATTGTGTACTGTACTCTGTGGGAGGAATGTAAACAAACCCAGTGTCCCCACAGAAGTTAAAGGGTAAATACTAAAGCTCAGATGTGATATTACAGTCCAACAAAAAAACAAAAGTTGATATATCAAGTTAGAGCAAATACTTATGACATTTGGGTTTCTGGTCAATATTGAAAATACTACAGCAATATATTCTTATTCCACCCCTTGGGCCCTGTTCCCTCATAAATGATGCGTTGCCCCTGAATTCTTTGTTTTGATCTCCTCCCACTGCAGTACACAGATTCGACGCATCAGATATGGCGGTTCCTGGTCTATATATTTCTTGGTTTACCCTATCAACCTCAACTAAGCTTTCGGTGTGTACTGCACTGATTTGCGGTTTACTGGTCGAAGAAATAGTAGGGTTTAGTGGAGAGTGCTATAGATAACATTTGATAATATACTTGAAATTGGAAAATGTTTGAAAATGATCTATATTTACCTGGAGACTGTAACTAGTTTAACCCAGGAGGAATCTTTAGGATCAGAAAACAGAGAATCACAGTGGTAAACACCGACCTCCCAGTTCCCGTGCTGTAGGCTTGCACAGTGGGTAAAACTAACCAAACACATAAACATTCATTAAAGCTCGTGATTCAATTCTTCAAAACTTCACTCAACAGTTTTATTTATTTACAAATTTAATGAAATAAAAATTCATTTTAACTTCTTTTGCTATTTACTTCTATTCTATTCTTTTCTGTTATATTCTATTCTATACTACTCTATTCTATTCTATTATATGTGTCATTGCATGACTTATATGTTAAGAATATAATACAACAGTATTACCAGGAATAATTGAGGGTATTTAAAGTAAGATTTCGTTTGTTGTTTCAAATATTCGATGGACACCGTTTTTATCTATCAATTGAGATTTCTCCGACATAAATTTGCCCTTGTGGGATTCCATGAAGCTTAATTAATCGATCAAAAAAGCCTAAATCAAGTGTTTCTCATGTTTACTGAATCTCCCTGTGTTCAGATAACAATGGCACAAAGCTATTTACAAGGCTTTGTTAAATTCCTTAATTTAGTGGAGAGTTGCTAGTTACCAAGAGGGTTGTGTTACTAGGCATATTAGACAAAAATACCACATCAATAAGAAGAAGAGTGAGTGAGAGTTTTTAACTATGAAGAGTGTGTAGAGTGTAGAGTGAAAACTATGAAGAGTGTGTAGAGTGTATAGTGGTAAACTATGAAGAGTGTTTTGAGTGTAGAGTGGTAAACTATAAAGAGTGTTTAGAGTGTAGAGTGGTAAACAATGAAGAGTGTGTAAAGTGTAGAGTGGTAAACTATGAAGAGTGTTTAAAGTGTGTAGAGTGTATAGTGGTGTAATGAATTATGTAACCATGCTAGTAATTTCTGATTTATCTATATTCGTTTATCTATCTTATCATATTCCATTTTGACCCTTACTGGCCAGTACGGTCAGTTTAATTTCACCTGTATAGAAAATAAATTAGTTCAATAGAATTCGCTGATTAATACGGACGTATACAGAGCCTTGAGTATTGGCTGAGAATAGAGAGCCTTGAGTTTTGGCAAGAGATAGAATTAGATATGTTCTAATTAGACTTTGAGTAGAGTTATCATTGAAGTATATAGCATCTAGATTGCTTACAGTGGTAAACTATGAAGAGTGTTTTGAGTGTATAGTGGTAAACTATAAAGAGTGTTTAGAGTGTAGAGTGGTAAACTATGAAGAGTGTGTAAAGTGTAGAGTGGTAAACTATGAAGAGTGTTTATAGTGTAGAGTGGTTAACTATGAGGAATGTGTAGAGTGTAGAGTGGTAAACTATGAAGAGTGTTTAGAGTGTAGAGTGGTAAACTATGAAGAGTGTTTAAAGTGTAGAGTGGTAAACTATGTATTGTAAAGTTGTGATACAGTTGAAATTTATAGTTTTCAATTATTTTGTGAAGATTTACTTGGCAACAGTGGACTTGACTAGTTAGCTAAAAGATAAACCAGAAATCAAAGATTACTTTTCTAAAACTGAAGAGCTTGGTTATATTAAAAACAAATATAAACATTAAAAAGTTGTTAAAAATGGGTTAAGAAGTTATCAAACTTCTTAACATGATAAAAAAGGCTGAAATACTACCTTTCCTGATAAAAGATAGTTATTTTCTTTCATGTCTAGAATTTGTTTCATATTGGACAGAAAAGATTTAAAAATCAAAAAATCTGATTGTTAAAAAGTCAGATTTTAAACTTGAAATGTTTGTTTCCTAATGACAACCGGTTTTTTGAAGGATAGTCTGGGTGGGCCGGCCAGCACCACCGGGGAGAGGGTGGTCTGGTGAGGGGAGAGTGAGGGTTGGTCCCTTCCCTCTCTCATAACAGCCAGGAACACCTCCTCAGTATATCCTGGGTCTAGGGCACCCTCAGGTATAAGAAGACTAACCCCCCAGTCCGGGAGAGACAACTTGCAACCAGCATGACTAAAATACAAATATTATACGGTGGTAAGGTATTATATCAATTCAATAAAGACGACTTTTTTATTTCGGTTTTAATTGTTAACAAGCTTTTTTCGAATTACAAGTTTACAATTAATCAAAGAGAAGCATTATTTTTATTGACAGCTGCTCTTGAATTTTGTTTATATTTGAAATCATGCTGTTTAAAAGCTTGATAAAATTCAAAATTGAAATCGAAAGTCGTCTTCATTATATCGATATAATCGCCTACAACTGTAGGTTCAAAATGGGTCGTGGTATTTTATTTTCACTTTCACAATATATTATATCATATATATATTAAAGTTTTTGATTGGAGTAAAACTGTTTATTCTATTTTAATGCGGGCCTGTTGTAAACAAGACTCTGAGTAAACATGGAGCTCCAGGTTGAAATCATAGAGCTGAAAAGGGAGAAGAAAATGAAAACTCCTCTTCAATAAATCTTTCCTTTTTAAAAAAAAGAAACTCATTTTTGCTGAGAGAACGTTGAAATGTGATGATTACAATACGATGAAACATGGTAATTAAATTACTGTATGCCGGAAGTAAATACCGCTCCTCATTTTCATAGCTCTTTGATTTAAACCTTCAAGATTGATGTTTAGAACGAATTTGCATAGAAACCTCAAATCTGAATACTATCTACCCTTCTCTATGCAATCTTATCACTAAAAACTTAGATTCTCTTTTTTACATCTATTTTAAATCTTTCCCATTCCCTTCTCCCCCATTTCCCTTCTCTTTCCTCGTTTTAAGCATTTTTTCAACTGTATTTTATAGTATGACAATATATATTTGATATGAAAAACTATTTTAAGATTTTGAGATTTGTAAAAAAGAATTTTATTTCTACAGTACCAGATCTAAAATGTGGGGTTTGTGTACCTTTACCGTATCAAGGAGAAGCGTAAGAGGGGGCACTGGGTGCTTACGACCCCTTCCCCTGGGGAACGCATAGGGGACCTCATTTATGAAATAATTTTATGTGTGGGCGAAAAATTAAAAGACAAGTTTTTCGTCCTTTTTTAATTCTTTTAACCCGAAAATTCAGCAATTAAAACCCTAACTTCTGCAGGAAAAAATTATGTTGATAAACCATGGGGGGAGGGGACGTTATATTAAAATGCATGCTTTTATCCTTTGAATTACTTCATATTAAAAAATTCAGCAAATAAAACCCTACACATTTTTTTGTTGCTCAGGGCAAACATATTTAATTTCTGGGGAAAAAATTATTTTTGGAATGGTGAAAGATTTTTCAAGAAAGCACTTTTGATATATATCAAGAAATATATGTGCTAAGCCAAGCAAAGCCTAAGTAAGAATGATATAAGTTTATTTACTCTAATTTATACTTTTGACAAAAAAAATCACGCAAAAGGTGCCTCTCTATACACTAAAAGCTCTTGGAGGCCCTTGTCCCGTATATTCAATTTTGCAATTGACAACTTTCAAAAGTGCGACTTTTCCAAATTGTCTAGCTCAAGTATAATTGCTTTCACAAACAGATCGAGTCTTTGCCACAAACTCTATTTTCTAATCCCTATATTTTTGCAACAAAATTTTGTGAACCTAAGATATTTTAAACTATAAGTTCATTTAGATTAAACAATCTAAGTTTGAAATGTCAAAGGTCTACACTGCAGCAGGTTGTAAAAATATAAGGATGAGAAAATCTGAGTTTGTGGCAATTGCTGAATTCCTTAATCTTAGCCAAGGAAAAGGAACATAGCCAATAGCCATGAACGTACGGAAAAAAATATGTATCTGCTGCTGTCTACTAAAGTTAAAGAGGATCGAGACATTAATACTAGATAAACGAAAATATGTAGAGTAAATATTGTAATTCTTAATAATATTTTGGAAATTTAAAAATTAAACTTTTAACTTCTAGACAAAAAAAAATAGTATTTTCAATAATTTATAAAATCGTTGCAGTATGCAAACGTAAGATATTACAGTCCTTCTTATAAGCCCTATCTATATAATGATTTTCTTGGAAAGACGAGAAGGTATGGATCCTACACAGACAAACTATATAGACAGAAAATTGTAAATGTTTAACAAAGACAGTATTGCATGCAAGACAGGTTGGTGATTCCGGGAAATAAGTTCAAACTTCGGCATTGATTTATTCAACCTTATTCTTTGTATTCAGAGGTAAAAACTTATAAATTATTCCTTAGGTTAAAAAATATTGGTTTATTCAGCCTTATTCTTTGTATTTAGAGGTAAAAACTTATAAATCAGTCAACTGATTTATACCAGCTTACATTCTTTAATGGTGTGGTGGAAACTTATAAATTAATACTGGCATAATTCATAGTCATAAGTCACAATCTCCTAGATTAATTATAATTATGATTTAACCTTCTATTAAGCATCATACCATGCATACGTTTATCAAAGAATGTATGCACATTGTAAGAAGAAACTCTTTCGTTATGGTCGACTTTTGTAAATAACCGGCCGAAGACAGTTCGAGATTGTGAAATAAATCTCGTGGTAGGACGGAGGAAGATATGGAGTATTTTACCTTACAGTAGAGATGGTGAATGTATCCGGANAGGTATGAATGAATATTATATACCCGGATGTAGGACGAAGAAGGAGATAGAGTATCTTACCTCACAGTGGAGATGGTGTATGTATCCGGATCTATACCCAAAGGTAGGACGAAGAAGGAGATATAGTATCTTGCCTTACAGTGGAGATGGTGAAAGTATCCGGATCTATACCCGGAGGTAGGACGGAGAAAGAGATAGAGTATCTTACCTTACAATAGAGATGGTGAAAGCATCCGGATCTATACCCGGATGTAGGACGAAGAAGGAGATAGATTATCTTACCTTACAGTAGAGATGGTGTATGTATCCTGATCTATACCCGGAGGTAGGACGGAGGAGGAGTTAGAGTATCTTACCCTACAGTAGAGATGGTGAAAGTATCCGGATATATACCCGGCGGAGGTAGGACGGAGAAGGAGATAGAGTATCTTACCTTACAGTAGAGATAGTAAAAGTATCCGGATCTATACCCGGCGGAGGTAGGACGGAGAAGGAGATAGAGTATCTTACCTTACAGTAGAGATAGTAAAAGTATCCGGATCTATACCCGGAGGTAGGACGGAGGAGGAGATAGAGTGCCTCTGGAGGGAAGTTGCTCGGAGGGAGGTTTCTAAAACAGCAATTTCGATTAATTCTCTTCAATCTAGGATAAAAACAAAGCAATTATATCTAAGTTCATATTTAGATAAGTAGATAATTACAACTATTCTTTACATCATAGCGTTCATTTTCACCATGATCACTGATTGCAGTACACAAAATGAAAATCTTCAAACTATGTGCGATGCAGACAACCTGATGGTGTAAACCTTTGATATTTCAAATTATAATTATTTGATCTAAAATGATTCATAGTATGAAATATCTAAGGTCTACGACATTCAAATGTAAAGATAAAGAAAAAAAGAAAATCAGAGTTTGTGACAAAAACTCAATTTCAAAGTAAATGAATACAATTCCCAAACAACATTCCTTCCTTATGTCCCTGCTCCCACTTTCTACAAAGTTCAGGAATCCAATTCGAATAAAGTTTTCAAGTAATTCTAGAATTCAAAAAGTTTCTCGATGAAATTTCTTTAATCTAGTTTCAAGTTTCTTGCGTTGAATTGGCGGGGGGGGGGGGAGTGGCTGTGATACCAAGACGTTTAACAATGGGACCCGGAGCTCCAGAAAACAGAGTCTCTCGCATCATTAACTTCTCCCGTATATAATCTAGACCCGGAGTAAAAACAATAAACCAGCAGCAAATGTTAACCAGAGTACAGAGTAGAATACACATAGATCTTGCTGGCCTACTTTTGCTTCATAAAAGGTGCTGGGTCGTCTTTACACTGGTAAGGAATATAAGGGAGATATAACTGATGCGGTTCGCCGTACCATATGATTATACATGCAGACGGACAAATATTTCTTATTCAAATGAAGTACCCGTCTGCAAAGCATGTAATCATATGGTAGGGCGATCCGCGTCAGTTATATCTCCCTTTTATTCCTTACTCCCTGATGGATATATTGTACACTTACACCAGACCGGTAAATCTTTGTACCGGTTCGGATCATGCACAAATTTGAGTCATGTGAATACAGAGTATATCTGAAGTATAATGTTTAAATAAATTAACCAGTTTATGGTAAGAATTAAATAACTAGGCTTATCCTGTATTTGTATTTAATGAAGGATAGTTGAAAGATCGGGAGTACATCTATAAAGGTTGATAGTCTGCTTAGTTTTCCAAGATGTGGTCTTCTACCTCTTTAACCCTATTCCGACTGACCCAGAGAATTCAAATAATCAAAAATATTTGCAAAATTTTCAAAACCTAAATGTTTATACAAGAAAAACTAGAATTGTTAAAATTCCCTTTGTCAATAATTTCCTAAAAATGTCTTTGCAGAAATTGTGCAATCTGCTTCTTTCCATAGAGCTGTAAAATGTTGCAATCCAGAACGAGGTGGGCCAGATCGAGTGGGCTTTGTAAGATTTTATAAAATCTAAATTTCTTTCTTTGTTTAATAAAAACAAAGATGTTGTTCTTGTTGAACGCGGTATGAGGTGAAATGCCATTTTTGATAACAAAAACATAGTTACAAAATAGCAAAATGAGCAATAACAATAATTGCAATAATTAGGAGTAAAAAATAATGTTTTAATCAGGCTTAAATGTGTAAGGATTAATTATAATATTTTGAATGTTGATGCCAAAGTTCATATACGCGCGGCAAATCGAGACATTATACTATAATAAACCATGCCATTCTAGATTAATGTGTATTAGGCAAGTATTAAAACTGTGAGCTAGAGAGAATAAAAAAAAATCCAAACCGCACCTCCTGTAAAAATCATTTCTTTCTTTTCAATTTTCTTTAAATTAAACATAACAATAATAATATTAAATTTATGAGGCTGCCCAAACGTTTGTTATATAGATCTTCGTGACCACATGATTTTGCGGTAATGACAACGACATTTTCAAATAAATCCCAAGAAATCTTAATTCCTATGATTGTAAATCAAACAAGTAAGAAAGTTATTTTACCGATCACTATCATATTTCTTTAAATTGGTCGATCGTTGAGCCGTACACAAAGCTTTAATTTGCAACGATCCCTAAAATGTCTTATTTGTGTTTTCAAATAGGTGTTAAATTCCTTCATGTTAGTTTTGTGTTGGTATATAGCTAGAGGGTAGTTGGAACCACGGATAACAAATCAATTTATCAACCAGAATGTCAACCATGTCAGTTAGGTAGACTCAAGGGTGAAGTATGGTGCAGAAATAGGAAAAGAGTTGATATTACGGAGAGCTGATAAAAGTGATTGAATTAACTATATGGATGAATATTATCCATCGTCTTGACTATGGATGAATATTATATACTTAAAGCTATAGATGAATATTACAAATTTGAGACTATATGAATGAATATTATCTACCTGAAGCTATTGATTAATATTATCTACCTGAAGCTATGAATGAATATTATCTACATAAGAATATGGATGAATATTATCTACCTGAAGCTTTGAATTAATATTATCTACCTAAAGCTATGGATGAATATTATCTACCTGCAGCTATGGATGAATATTATCTACCTGAAGCTATGAATGAATCTTATTTACCTGAAGCTATGAATGAATATTATTTACCTGCAGCTATGGATTAATATTATCTACCTGAAGCTATGGTTGAATATAATATACCTGAAGCTATGGATAAATATTATCTACTCGAAGCTATGAATGAATATTATCTATCTAAGAATATGGATGAATATTATCTACCTGAAGCTATGAATGAATATTATCTACCTAAGAATATGGGTGAATATTATCTACCTGAAGCTATGAATGAATATTATCTACCCAAGAATATGGTTGAATATTATGGCCGCCGAATATTATCTACCTGAAGTTATGAATGAATATTATCTACCTAAGAATATGGATGAATATTATCTACCTGAAGCTATGGATAAATATTATCTACCTGAAGCTATGGTTGAATATAATATATCTGAAGCTATGGATAAATATTATCTACTCGAAGCTATGAATGAATATTATCTACCTAAGAATATGGATGAATATTATCTACCTGAAGCTATGAATGAATATTATATACCTGAAGGTATGAATGAATATTATCTACCTAAGAATATGGTTGAATATTATCTACCTAAAGCTATGTATGAATATTATCTTCCTATGAATGAATATTATATACCTGAAGGTATGAATGAATATTATCTACCTAAGAATATGGTTGAATATTATCTACCTAAAGCTATGTATGAATATTATCTTCCTGAAGCTATGAATGAATATTAGCTACCTGAAGCTATGAATGAATATTATCTACCTAAAGGTATGAATGAATATTATCTACCTAAGAATATGGTTGAATATTAGCTACCTGAAGCTATGGATGAATTAAGACTCTGTATCGAGGATGTCCAAGGTGAATGTTTGATAAGAGGTGTAAGACCTGGTCCTTCCATCAACCAGTTTATCCTCTCCTCTCCTTCCTCACTAGTACTCTCATATCTCTCCCGCACATCACCTGCAAGTATTAAAAATAAACCACAACACTAGGGGGCAATAAACTCATTTAACACTTACAAAACCAAGCATGTCGTCGATCCTGTATCAGTTTAAACTCAGTCATCTAATTTGTAAATGATGAACTATTAACCAGGGTGTGATAAAATTTATGTATGTTTTTATTGCAATCGTTGCAATGTTCAGTGCAACCAAAATTAGTAAATGAAAATAAAAAATGTTTATACTTTAATTGTGAAAAGGTGAAAGGTGTATCGCCGGTCGTCGACCATGGTAAGCTGTGAAGTTGTTTAGACAGATAGACAGATAAATAGATGGATATTTGATAGATAGTAATATTTGCTGCTCAAACAAACATTCAAATAAAAGTATGAATTATGGAGCATATCGAAACATTTTATTCAAATAGAGGATTCTTTTCTTTTTCAACATTTCTCAACTAGGTAAATACAATTCTGAACATACCTATATCACTGTATCCTGATATATCTACTGGTTGCAACGGCTGGGCCAAATGACTAAATGGAACATCGTACTAAATACAACAATAGAAATTTTGATTTTTTTCAAAAATACATTGTTTGAACTTTTGTTGCTAAATGGAAAAGTAAAAAGCTATAAATTCTTAAGAAATAGGCAACACCACTAATTTAACTGAACACCCTTTTAACTTTTCCACAACATCCCTCTCAATGCTCTTTATTCCATTAAATAAGTATAAATAAAAATTGCTGGGTTCATTGGGTTTATTTGAGGTAATTCTTAGAGAAGCTTCGTAAGTATTCGTCTTTTATTAGTCTAACCAGACACTTCTAATTATAATTTTTATAAAACTGTAAATCCATTTTAAAGCTTTTTTGACATAAAATTAATATTGTTCCTGATGTTCACTGACTACAGGGCTTTTGACTGGATTTGCAGGAGGCGGGGGTGGGGGACATGAGCCCCTCTGTTCTCCTTGGTGCCCCCTTTTATCCACAAAAGGAGAACTGGTGGTTGATCCTGGGAAGTCCAGTTTTAAGATCTGCTGATCCTCTGACCTTTATAGTAATATGATTAATGATGTAGATGATAACATGATAATAACAATATCATAAATATTCAAAAAGAATAACGATGATAATAATGACGATGATAACAAATTATCGTTAATGTTTTAATAAAACCAACTTTTATATCTATATGCATGACCCCAGGGAAGGTTTAGAAATCGTTAGAATTTTAAAAAGTCCAAAAATTTTGTTATTCAAAATAGTGAAAAATCCATCTACATAACACAGAATAATCTCCGAAATCGTTTAAATCAATGATATCAATTACCTATGGAATACCCTTGCATCTTCTATATACCTGCGGAATACCCTTGCACCTTTTATATACCTGTGGAATACCCTTGCACCGGGAAATGAAAAGTTTGTTTCTTCTCTTTTATTCCCGTTCCCGTCTTTCTCAAGGAACTCATCCCGGTACACTGAATAATAAGAATAATGATGAGGATAATAATGTTAATCACAACAATAGTAATATGATAATGATAATAAATGTAGTAGTAGTATTAACTATAAGAATATAAAAGAATGGTAATGAGGTTCACAATAATCGTTTAGATTTGAAATATGTAGTTTGTTTTTCATTCTAAAGTTAATAATGTTAATCTTATATTAAAATATCAAATATTTAGGAATGAGAAATATTATGTTTTATTGTATTTCATCCTACACATTTTTGGGTCACATTAATCTTAAATTAGGTTGAAAATAAAAATCTAAAGAAGACCAGTCCAGCAAAGGACCAAATGTCCTAGCCGCAATGTTCAGTTTAAATTGAACTTGATTCACGACGGAAAAAAGTCAGGGGAACATTCATCTGACCTAATATACCTTATAAATATTTTTATTTTGAAAGTATATCCGAGGATAACATTCCCCCCCCCCCTTTCCCACTTAGGACTTGTAAGCTCCTCCTCTATATACATAAAAACAAGTTTATTTTCGAAAAATAGTTCATAATGAGGGATATGTAAAAAATGTGTATGATTAATATATATATATATATATTGTTTGAAGCTTTGAAGCTTCTCCCTGTTTACTAAACCTCTAGGATGAAGACGACCTACCTAAACTAGCCATGTTGTATATACTCTGACTCCGACCCTTTCTTCGAATGAGTTTAATTGAGAGCAGGGTTACAGACAGAAATACGAGAAGGGCTACAGACAATCCAATCAGCAAACTTAAATCCTCCTCAAGAACACTCTCGCCTGGGTAGAACATTAATTATTAAAACTTATATGTTATTAAAGTAGTCACAAAGGAATTAAGTCTTTGGCACAAACTCAAATTTTCAGATCCTTATATATTTGCAACCTGATAGTGTAAACCTTTGATATTTCAACTTAGATTAATTGAACTAACATTGTTTGAAAATCAGAGTTTGTGGCAAAGGCCCAATTCTTTACAGAAATGGTTCAACTGAATTCCTAAGTACATTTAGATACAAATATTATTTATTTTTCAAATATTAAGATGTTTTTGAAACTGTTTCTTCTAAATTTTTCTTTCTCTTACCATCTGAATGGGGGTGAGGCAAAGTAGGTCCGCCAGAAACCCTGCACATCCCTCCGGTGCAGGGGGCAGATGTTTGGTCACGCCCACGACAGTAGTCCCCACCACTGTTTGGTAGGGGGGCGGAGCAGGTTCTCATTCTATTCAAATGTTTAATTAGTTCATGCTTCAATAGACGTAAACCATGGAGTTTGTTTAAGATTTAATTAAGCAATGAAACAAATCGTTTAAAGTCAAATTAAAGTTGATAATTTATTATTATATTAATTAATATTATTATTTATTGAAGAGGTCTTGAGACAAGCATTCTTTTAAGTTCCCGAATGTAACAATTAATAAATTTTCCTTTTTTAAACTTGAGTGTAAAATTAAAGTTAGGGAGGTATGAGGTCACAATGTGGTAAAAACAATGTTAAACAATGTTGACCATCATCCGTTATATGATAAAACCGTGATAAAAAGATTAAATCTTTCATGAAAAAGTTTGAATAACATGTATACGTCTGCAGTTCAGACCATGATGCTTGCCATTGACAAACTATGCCAATGTGTTACTAGTACTTATACACCATGTTAAGTTTTACCTTTTTTATGTTTAAATATGTAAACGAGTTTGTTGTAAAACTTTATTATTCAACTCATGTAAACTATTTTGTACAATACAATACAAACGGAGATAATAAATATCTAGATCTTAAAAAAAGTTTTACCTTTTTTATGCAAATAAGCTTATTTAACGGACATAACTTTCAATTTTAGACGGGATATTGTTTCTAACTTTTTATCTGAAGACCACTATGTTATACAAAGAGGGTCAAAATATCAAATTTCCGAGCAGGGCACACCTTTGCGGTCTTAGTTTGGACTGTACCGCAATTTACAACTACTAAAGCGGCAGACATGTGTGTGTATGTGACAGTGTAGACCAATTTTTACATGTTTGTTTTGACCCATTGAACTCTTACGTTAAAAAACATTGAAGTAAAAGTAGTTAAAGTTTGCTTTTTTAGAACTATAGGAGGCATCTCTTTTGCTCAAAATTTAATGATGAAGCTAAGATGACTGTGTAAAGCCTTTTAACTGATAAATTTCGCGGAATTTTATCAGCTATATGAATGTTTCCTTTGTTAATTTTTAGCGTTTTTACCAAATCAGACATACTCGGCAATAGACTACAGCAATTTAAGGTCAACATTTTTTGTTTTTTTAGTGTTTAAAACCTCTCATATTTGCAGTTTCTTAAACACTACTGCACGTACTAATCTTTTCTATTAGTTACTCTATATATGTATGTTGTGTTGATCGGGTTTGTAAAGGTTGTTACTTACTTAACATATTTATAACTTTTCCTACAAGAATTCGGACAAACGAATAATATAGAAAATATTATAATGGAAATACATTAAAGTTGGTTAATTGCAAGTTTATTAGATGCTACTTGATGCGGTACGGTACACTTTTTGTTTAAAAAATCTAGACGTTTATATCTTCTGTATAATAAAACAAGACATTAATATATATAAACATATGCCAAACGGCTGGACTGAATGGGTACCCTGAGTGTAACATAGGCTAAAAAAGTTTTAAAATTCGTATTTTTTTTATTCGAATTTTTTTTGACAATTTTTTTTAAATCACGGGAAACGCTATTGAATTTTCTGGAAAGTGACGCATGAATTTTAACAGAAGAACTGAAAGATTTTTTTTAAAACTTTTATTTTTATTTTATTTTTTTCATTCCCTACAGTTAATATTCTCCACTAAAAAAAGTTTGAACCCAATAAGAGTTTGCATGAACTGTTTACAATAAGTTAGATTTATCAACATGCATTGGTATTTATTATTAAAATATCATTTCTAATTAGTTGAAAATTAAGTTTAATGTAGGCGTACTGCGCTTCGATCATACTCATTTATAGCAACACTAAACACAAAAACAGAGATTTTGTAAACAATACAACATCACTAATTTAAAAAGAATTAAAATTTAACTTGAACTTTGTTTGTTTTTATATACACCTTCCTTGACTATGCAGTGTTGGTGTTTTTGTTAAATATTATAATTTGTTTTTCTGAATATTTAGGTTTTTTCACTGAATTTGTTTCTTTTTCCCTTTGCTCCCCCTTTCCACTCACTTTACTCACGAAATATTTTATTACATATTTAGATGTCAAATATGAATTTGTTATTCATTATATGAAGCTGTAATATCTATTTAAGAAAAGGCTTTATTATGTAGTTAAATCCATTTTTTTCATCCAGTTCAAGCCTAAAGAGAATTGGTTGAACTAGGTCTACGTCTACGTTTAGACTCTTTCTAGCCATGTGTTGGTACACTGTTAAAAAATGTTTGAGATTAAATATTAAAAAATGTCTTACCTGAAATGTTTACAGTCGGGACTACAGGATGACCAGCCTGACCAACTGGACCAAGATCCATCAACTAAAAACAAATAAATGAGTGTACAAACTGTACACCATGTTATGTACTTGCATCATATACATATCGGAGCTAAGAATGTATGTTTCTGCAGCAAATAGAATTATTGGATTATTTTTTACACCAACAGTAATACTACTAGTGATATAAAATATTTTAGAGATATCAGGGCTCATGGGCAACGCCCCGGGTTCTTAAGCAACAGGGTTGCCCACAAAGGATGTCACCGGAAACTCTTAAAGTTTGACGATCCCAAGGTTAGATCAAGTGTTTTGCCTTAAATGTAGTCTTTTCATGGCTTACTTTATGATTTAGAAAATATATGAACAAGTTTGCATTGGAAGGAACTATAAACACAAGGAAAGAGACAGTAAAAATTCCTAACAGTCGTCTCTGAAGTCTCATCCTTTGTGGGTAAAAATGTAGTTGATCATGAAAATTGTAATTAAAAGAATTTATGGTTAAATCAAAACTAAAACAAATCATAAACACCCTACTGCATAACTCCATTCAACATCGTACAAAATCAAACAAATTTTTAAAAATGAAATAAACAAGATTGGAAAAAACTTAACATTTTGTTTTTTACATAATTTCAATATAATTTGTTTGTTTTATCAGTTTGATGTCTAAACTGGAAACTACACCCTGTAAGGCTGTGGAACAGTTTTGCTCTAAACCTGATTTGTAAAAATGAAAGTTTTCAGTTTCTTTGTAAAACTCACGATTAAAACTTTGTCTTTCATGGTTTATTTTTCTAGTTTGCTTTTTGTTCAATTTTTTGTTTAAATCTTTCATAAAGTTTATGAAACTTATCATTTATGTCTAAACGACTTTTCCCCATACAAGATAGTGCAGTGAAATTCATTTTAAAACTAGGAGTCAAAGACTAATCTTAAATTCAATATTTGATTTTTATTATTTATTTCAAGAAAATTAGATATGGCTAGTAGAAGATTATTAAGATTTATAATTAAAGGATTTTAGTAAACCCTTATGTATTTGAGTACTACACAAGATTCACACCTTAAAACTAATATTTGAATTTCTTTCTGAAATAATAAAAAATAAGTGTTTTTTTTTTTAATAATTTTGCATGAAAAGTCAAAGTTACTATATCTAATTCTCCTTAAATGAAAGATCAAATCTTGGCCGATGAATACCTATTTTTCAGAAGAATTTTTTCATTATTTGAATTTTTCCTTATAGTTATTTATAGTAATTTGTAAGCTTCATGGTTGTCAATAAGTCTCAGGTTTAAACAATCATATTTCTACCCAAGTTTAAGAGCGTGAAATTTATGAATAGTTGAGTAGTTAAACTAGAAAATACGACTAGTTCAACTACTGGTTAAAGTTTTAACCGGCAGTTAGTGTAGAATTTGGAGTTAATTAACATCACTGTTTTAATAATTTCTGGAGCTGGATTATTTACCTATTTGAAAACACATTTTTTAATTATTTCATGCAACGCTTAACAATGTCCTTAAGGGCTGATGATTTTGCATTAAAAGTTTCTTTGAATTCCTGATTGGATTTTAGCACTTTACTTGCATATCTTTATCATTCCCACAAAATAGTGCGGAATGTCTAAATTGATTAGCATGAAATTATCTGTAAATGGAATCCATATGCTTTTAGATATTTTTATGCACACATTGTTTTGTTGTATTATTTAATTAGAAATATATAAAAACGACAAAAAAAAAGTGCTTTTAACAGAACTAAGTTTATTTTCAAAGAATTAATTTGCAACTAAAGGTCTCTTTCTAGTTGTACGATGTGTTCCTCAATTCAAAAAGTAATCAATATTTCACTAAACAACACAGACAATGAAGTACAACAAAACAGTACATTACAACGCACGTACAGTTTATTTAAAACTTACCAGTGCCAGCTACAATATCTTCCTCTATGAAACAATTGGTAATGAATAAATTCTCCTGTTTTACTTGTGCTCAGGAGTTTAAATCAAATAATTTAATTATAGTGTTAAAGACAACTTTAAGTTTTAAAGTAAAATCAAGGCAAGTTATTCTAATTACTTTCAAAATATCATTTTCCCGTACTTTTCTGTTACCATTCTTTAGGGTGTTTAGTAGAATTCCATGATATGTTTAAACAATTTTATATTTTGTGTTTAAATAGATGGCCAGCTCTAATTAAATAAGCTTTAGGTGAATCAGATGTCCATCTTATTATCATTGAATTATATCTATATCTACTTATTTGATTAATGTTTCAAGACTTCAATCAATATTTTAAGCTTAACTTTCAAGTTTAAGTGTACTTAAAAGTTAGTGAACTAAACGTACTTCAAATCTAATTAAATTTAATCAAAATTTGTAGATTCCATTTATCTGTTGATTGTCATACATATAATACTACAGTGGTTGGCTGTATATATTAATTCAACTAAGACGACTTTCGATTTAATTTTTGATTTGAATCAAGGTGTTAAACAATATATGGATACGCAATACAAATAAAACATAGAAGTCAGAAGAAGCTGTCAATTCAAAAAGTTCTCTTTGCATGATTACTTGTAGACTTGTAATTCGAAAAAGCTCGTTAACAATCAAAACTTAAATGAAATAGTCGTCTTCATTGTATTGATTTAATCGCCTACCACTGTATGATGCCTTAATCTTAATTTTCATAAAAGTTTAGTCATGAAACCTTACCTTTACATAGAGCTACACAAGGCAATGTTTCTTCTCCATCTCCAAAGCAATAATCTCCATTCAGGCTCGGTACTGGATTATTACACACCCTGTACACCACATTATTAATATACTGTACAGGTACATGCAGTTTAGGTCCAGAGCTATTACAGACCATGTACAGTGTATAGACATAGTGCAGTGGATCTGGGTATGCAAATAAGGTTGTTAAACTGCATTTTTTTTCAAAAAAGAAAATGAGTTTTCGCCACAAACTCTAATTATTAATCCATAAATATGCAAACCAATGTCGTAGACCTTTGATATTTCAAACATTCTGTTTACACCATAGATAAATAAATAAACATAGATAGCTTATGTACGCAAAATCACCAAGAATTGTGCAGTCCGAGAACTCATACTTCAAGGGGTCAAAGTGTACTTCAATGATAAGCGGGGTGGTTTGGTTTTTTAATGGATTTCATAATTATTAAACCATTGAGGAGTGAATTTTTTTTCAGAATATCAAATTATTTCACTGAACAATATATCATATTGACGAAAACTGAAGAAGGACATGAGAAGGACTAAACTAACTTAAATTTCTCTCTACAGAACTCATGTACACCACAAGTACTCAATGACATAAGAACAGCTAATGTTCACAACCGACCTAGTTAATCTACATAATAGGAATATCTTTAAAACATCTCTGTACATTTATATCTCTCAAGATGAAAAATGTCGTCTTATGCGCAATCTATCTTTATCTATGGTTTACACCCTTGATGCAATAATATAGACAAGAGAAAATGTGAGTTTGTTGCAAAAACTCGGTTTCTTTTGTAATACTACTCTCGTATTTACTTGTATTATATAGTGAACTATGCTGAACTGTACCCATAGAGATTAATAGAATATATATTAGAGGGGAATTTACTAGAAAAAAGTGTAAGACGGCCATGTTGTTGTACTGTTTCCATACTGCAGGTGTACTTCACATATTTATGCTTTATAACCTCTTGGGCCCTGGAATATCATTTTATAGAAAATCTAAAATTATTGTTAAAAAAAAACCAAATTATGAAACAGGCTGGTTTCATAATTGACCAATGATCATTTCACATAGACTCTATGCCTTTCACTTTACAAACGATGATTTTCTGTTATAACTATAAATCAAATGATGTTTTTTATTCACCTAATTCATTATAAAGTTTATTTAACATTTTAAAAAAATCGAAATAGAAATGTATAGTCTAGGAAACATACTGTATTAATGTACTGCATATAATTTGTGAACATTTACATGATTTGTACACTTTGAACTCCCTTTCAGGCTGAAAGGGACTGAAAAAATTCATACCGAGAGATTCTTTAAATTCCCCTCTAATATATATTCTATTCTCTATGACTGTACCGCACACATTTGTGTTGGGTTGTTAATCGTTTTTAAAACCGATCGAAAAACCAACCGTTTTTCGTTTCGTTTTTATTTTTTTTTCTAAAAACGAACGTTTGTTTTAATAAAACTAACCACTAGTTTTCAACTTTCAAAAAACGAAAATCGATCATTTCGTTATTCGTTTTTTTAGTCGTTTTTAAATCAAAACAATAGTTTTTCAAAAAAGTGGAAACGATCTGTGTGTACCTGTATCTATGCTGGTTTCCTCTTCCACATTGTACATCACAATCTGCCCAGGGAGACCACAGTGACCATCCTCCGTCAACTGAAATATCTTTATTTATTTCTATAAAAGCATGTATTGCATGATACATGTTCTTACATCGGATTAGAAAAAATTTCAATGAAAAAAAAATTCCAATTGAAAAATAATGCAAACGTCTCTCCTGGCTTTAAAAGTAACTACAAAAGCTGACACCATTACTGAATGGTTTAAGTAAAAAAAAACAAGAGAAAAACTAATATTTTCTATAAAACGGGTACAGTGGTTATCTGGTCAATTCACCGTCTTTTTATTTATTTATGTGGTACCAAGGGTCTTATTAAAAATTCCCCATTCAATTGCAAGTTGAGTCCAAGTCAACAGTTGGTGTAATGTACAGTGTACACCCAATAAAAACAAGGGCTGGTGTACTGGATACCAAATATCAATACAGACTGGTGTACTGTACCGAATAAAGCAAAACAAGCTGGTGTACTGTACCGAATATATAAACATGAGCTGGTGTTCTGTACCGAATATATCAACACTAGCTGGTGTACTGTACCAAATATATCAACATGAGCTGGTGTATTGTACAGAATATTTCAACACTAGCTGGTGTACTGTACCGAAAATATTAACACTAGCTAACGTACTGTACCGAATTTATCAACACAAAACTGCTGTACTGTACCGAATATATCAACACGAGCTGGTGTACTGTATCTACGGTTCACAAGGTTCTCTGCAACACAAGTATAGTTCCCAACATCCTCCTCGTCAACCTAAAAATAACACGTTACAAAAGAGTCCGCAGTACCAATTTTGAAGCAAAATTAATACCATTTTTCAAGATTCATCTGAATGAAATGCTTCAATTAATTATTGTTTAGCAATTAAGAACAGAAATACGATGACATGAGTACTAAACTGATAGAACGTTATTAGTATTCATAAATCATATCACTTGATAGTTAAGATTAAACTTGAATGTTTAACAAGAGAAGCTACGAAATGTTAATAATATGCTGATTTTAAAATTAAGATTATTTTATCTTTACCTGAACAATAATAAGATGGCCGTCAGCAGATTGAAGATAATTATTCTCTCTTTCAGAGTTCAGTTCGACCTTATCTTTTAGCCAGGAGATCTGATATTATAAATGATGATAATAATTATAAAATAATATTAGAAATTATATTTTAATTTTTTTAATTTCTCCTATCTTACGTTCTACGTTTTGTCCCTGTCAGGCTGTCCTACAATTGTTCGCCTGCCCAAGTTTGTTTTATCCTACAATTGTCCTGTCCTCATTAGTCCTGTTCTACGTTTTTCTGTCCTACATTATTTCTGTCCTACGTTTTTTCTGTCCTACATTAGTTCTGTCCCACTTTTTTCCTGTCCTACGTTTTTCCTGTCCTGCGTTTTTCCTGTCCTACATTTTCCTGTCCTTCGTTAGTCCTGCCCTACATTGGTCCTATCCTACATTAGTCCAGTCATACTTTTGTATGGCCTACGATTGTCCTTTATATACCATGACTTCCCATTCCCTTTCCCACCTCTTCTTTTTTCTTTTCCCTTGAAATAGGCTAAAAACACGTTTCAGCCTTGGTTATCAATTATTTTATGAAAATAGCCGATCTAAAAATTAATTTTAAAAATTCAGAACAAATGCAGAAGGTTTAAAGTTTCCGAAAAAGATATTGTAAAAATGTAATGTAAAAATATGTTGAGGATGATAGTAAAGGGTAAAATAATGATGTAGGAATAGTCCTGGCTAAGATTAATAATATGATGTCCAGGTAAAATGTGAAAAACATGTTTACGCCATTTTTGTGTTATTCACTTTATATTCATTTATATCAGAGTAATAATATTCATCTTAGTCCGTCGTGTGCTCTTTGCAGGTGGAGGAGGTGGAGGGATAAAGGGAGANTATACGTGTAACAAATCTAGACGCTACTTCTCTAACGATTACTTAACTCAAAGTCTAATGAGATTCTCTCTAACTAAATCTCTAGCCAAAACTCATTATATGGGATATGTTGTGGAAGTGTAGGGATGAGGACTATAGAGAGGGAGAAGAATGGAGGTTAATGGGTGCAGAGGAGGGCTTTGGGAAGGTGGAAGGATGGAGGTAAATGTGATACCGGTAGAAAATGTAAAATCTTATGTCTATTTCGAATTTTTGTATTTTTGCGACCATAATTCTGTGCGAATGAGTTGATAAAAATTGTAGATTCATAGTTTTAAAAAAGACAAAATTGCTTTAAATATCTATTTTCTTTTGTTTTGCAATTCTTTTCATCAAAAATATTTATTTATGTGAAAATATTGAAAAATATTTTGAAATATAAAAATAAATTTGTGCATAAGAATTTTCTTTGAAGAAAGTTAAATTGGTACATTTTGGATGAAAAATGAATATCCAATAAATACCTTTTTTCAGAGGAACAAATGACAGAATTGTTCTCTTACCCTTGGATTAGGATTTCCCTTGGGAGGATGACATCTTAGTTCTACTTGACCTCCTCTGACCACACTCTGGCTGTAGGGAGGGACCTCAAACTCTTTGTTTAAAACTAAACACAATTATAGAATAGTTTACACTCATCGACATGGATTCGAACTTGACCACAGCTACAAACAAGAAGTTGACTGCACAATTTTTTAAGAAACTGAACATGCCAGTTGAGAGACTTTTCTTCCGGGATACAACTTAAAGGTCGTATTTGATATATAAAATAGTTTGCGGCATTTACTCTGCCACTTAATTTAACTTTATAATTCTTGAAACAACAATCATAAAATACAAAAGCGCTCATTATATTGATGTGAAACTTTTGTTAACGAACTTACTGATCATTAACAGTGGAGGGACTTATCAATATTTGGTATATATACTGTTAATGCTGTTAATTAATCGAGATCGTTAACGAACGGCAGCTTCATTAACTAACGGGAAAAAACAACTGAAATGGAAATTATTACTAAAAACTGGCGGCTGCCTGATGATCCTTTCCGGTTCCTTGTTTTTCTAACCGTTACCGAACGTGGCCAACCTTGTAAATACAAAATCTAAGAGAGAGATTTTCAGTTAGCTTAAAAAACCGCGCAAAACTCATTGCGTTTCATGCGCAAAAATAGCGCAAAAGTTCGCAAAAAAAAAAATTGCGCGAAAATAGCGCAAATTTTGCGCAAAAGATTTAGCCATTTCGTGGAAACCCTATAATCGGCTGAATATTTCACTCTCCAACCAAGATTTTTATTTTCAATGTTTTTTTTACTTTAAATGGCTGCCTTTAAATTGTATTTTTCTAATTCTGTTTGTTCACAAGTAAAATATATCTGTTATCACAAGTAATATATCTAGTTAACGTAACAAAGTACCAAAGTTTTAAACTTCAAATAAAGATTTATATCCGAGAATTCTTATTCTCTCAGGACATATATTCCATCTCTTCTCCCCTTGTCAACTTTTCTTCTCCTTCTCTCCGTCTCCACTTCTCTCCTTTTCATCTCCTTCTTTCAATCCTCCTTTCTTTCCCTCTCTCTCACCACTTATCCCTGTGTCTCCTTCCATTTTGTCCACCTGTTCATTGTCCCTAGTCTCCTTTTCCTTTTGTACCCTTATCCCCATTTCCTTTCCTTCGTTCTCGCCTTTTCTCCTTCTCCCCGTCTCTTCCTTCTAGTCCCCTTTCCTACTCCTTCCTTTATCCCCCTTCTTCTAGTCCCCTTTCCTACTCCTTCCTTTATCCCCCTTCTTCTAGTCTCCTTTCCTACTCCTTCCTTTATCTCCTTCTTCTAGTCCCCTTTCCTACTCCTTCCTTTATCACTTTCTTCTGGTTATTTTCGCGAAAATGAACGAAGCGAATAAATGCAAAAACGATGCGGAAGTTCGCAAAAATATTTTCTCAAAAAAAAATCCGCTAATACCAGAAGTGTTGTAGCTGCAACAACTTGTGAAATTCTTTGCTCATAGGAGCTCAACATTTGAAGTCTTATTGAATAATATTAATAATTTTTCTTCCTTAATTTTGGAAATGTTTGATGATCGAAGAGAATTTGATTTCTTTAGATATCCTTCTGAGTTTCGTCCGTCCATGTATACGTGTAACAAATCTAGACGCTACTTCTCTAACGATTACTTAACTCAAAGTCTAATGAGATTCCATCTAACTAAATCTCTAGCCAAAACTCAAGGCTCTGTATACGTCCGTTCTAATCAACTAATGATATTCAACTACTTTATTTATAAACAGGTAAAATGAACTGACCGGGCTAGCCCGGCTGGGTCAACATAC